ATGTACATATCATATAGATATATATATATATAACTGTATATACATATATGTATGTATATTATAATACTAGATATATATATATATATAATTCATGTTATATTGTGTTATTATTAAGTAATATTGTGTAATCATGTACAAGTTGTACAAGCTCAAAGTATTCGATTGTGGAATGTTGCTCACAAGTGTTGCTCTGGATTTTGAGCAAACGCTTGAATTTCGGCCTCCGGAGGGTGACTTAATCAGTCCTCTGTTGCTGTGCAGCAAAAATGTCACGATGGCCTCACGACTGTTCGCAGGAATTCCACACAGAACCTGAGTCTCTTTGACTGTGGGCCCCACGGCTGCCAAGATAGGAACTTGTATTCTTTGCTTGGCAAAGGAGCCTCGTTCGCAAGGCATCGCAAGGCTGTGTCATGCAGGACTGCTTTAATGGTTTGCTATCTGATTCCATCTTCATGCTTAGGTGGTGTCGAAGTAGTCGACTCATGGAAGTCATTTCCCTGGGCAAATGTGGGAAAGACTTCAATGATTGGTTCAGGTTGGGTGGCGATGGAGGTTGATCCCCCGCAGTAAAGGCAAAATCAAACAAGATCGGTCTTGCTAATAATTAGCTGCTAATGACGCTGGTATAACAATGAAGCCTTCACGTCTGAGGGTGGGACTCAGCTGCGCTGAGACTTGAATCCCCGCGCCATTGCTACAAGTCAAGCTACCCTTGAGCATCTGCTGTGTCGCACTAGCTTCATTCCAAAAGAGCCGTTCTCCAAACTCAATGTCATGACACTTGATGCAGCTTGAATCGTGAAGACATGCAATTTATGGAGCTGTGGGGTCTGAGCGAAACACGTGGCATCTGCACCTTCTAAGGGCCTCTCGTCCACTCGTCCATGGTACAGGTAGCCTGCACTTGCAACTCGACACATGTCGACATTGACATGATCCCCTGTCAGTAGTCAATATCAATTAGTATCAAAATGTTAAGAAATTGGTCATGTCTCTGCAAAATGTTGCTGGATAAACTTGGTTCAAGAAATCTTAAGCGGCTGACCGAACAGAATCTGCGCGACTTCAAGTGGAAACTCCATCAAGGATACCTGGCAAATTTGGATATGTTTGGCATGATCTACGTATCATCTACATTGAATCTACCAGTGATTTGGGTCTTTCCCACAGAGCTGACCTCTGCACCCGAGCTGTGGCTTTCTAGAAAGCCACTGCCAGCTCCCTGTGACATCGGCATATGCGGCATCACATCTTTGCAGATTTGCGAGCAACGTGTTTGTCCACGAGAAGTTTGAAAGAAGTACTACTGTCCCAGCCTGAAACATTGCTTTGAAATATTCACTTCGTGACATGAGGATGTTGCGATGGAGGAAAAGGCTGCCACCATCACATCTGACAGTCACATCTGAGAAGCTCTCTGAGCCATTCTCCTGGCAATGTACGTCAGGATATTACATCTGTTTTTCTGGGAGAATGGAGTTCTGGCATGCTCGCTGTTTCTGAAAATGCCAGTGTTGCGAAAAGCCACGTCATGGCTTCATCAGCTGCCTTGGACCCAATACGATTGAATCACAGAAACTCGAAGGCAAATAAGGCAACAGAGTTCTATCTTACAGTGCCACTCATGACTTGACATGGGCTTGTGCGATGACTGGGGAGAATGGCAGGTGGTAAGTGATAAGCTCAAGACTCGAGCACTGTCGGTCTCTTGGCCAACTAGTGACTCTTGGGGTAGCTCCACAGCGTCTCGCACACCCAACATGCGCAGTACTGAAACCTGTGCAGGTGATGCCAATTTGAATTCTCGAAAAGAACTGGGTTGCTGAGTGGCCAGCAAATCAAACTTTGACACTCAGCCCCATACGTGCTCTGTCAAGTAGTCTGGCAGTGCAAACCTTGCTTTTGCAAAAGGTGAAAGGTCAGGTCATGACTGTCAGTAAGGTCACCTTCTTGACGAGAAAAGATGGTACTCATATGTGTGTATATATATATTATATAATTATATATATATATATCAACGTTCTCTGATATTCTCTGAGCCATGAACATTGGCGGTCGATGCTCCTTTAGTACCAAGGAGATCCGCCATGGTGCCACTAAGGTGTGCCTTACATGAGCTGATGTCAACAGGTCTTGCACCATCTTGCACCCATTGTTCTTACTCGTGGATCCTCCTTGTGTACAGAACTCTCTGACTCTTAAAATTGACTTCCATTGATTTCCTGCCGATCGTGCCCATCTGACAGCAGCACGGACCGGTGCCACCACTTCCAGGATCGAGAGGAATAGCAATGAACTTTGCTTTTCGCAGTCGTGAACACACTTGAGCCTTGTGAGGTGAAACATGCAGACCTTTCAATGTGTCGCTTCGGCTGTATTTGCAACACATGGATCCATGCCGTGAGTACAGCATCTTCTGAGGTAGCCGCGCATTCTCGTGCCATCTGTGCAGGGGCACCCTCTGTCTGGCTTCGTGGTGCGGTTGCCTCTTGAAATACTTCATGCTGTGCAAGGAATTGGCACATAGGTCCCACCACCTGAGAGCAGCTGCGACTCCGACAAATCATGGCCTGCTAAGCCATTCCACCCTTTCTTGATTCTTGTCCTTTTGTTTTTGAAAACCAAGTGCTTCAAGTGGTTTTTCACATGGTTTCGCCATGCTGCGAGCAAAGCTTAAGCGATCATCTGAAGCAACTCGCGCAGCATTGCTGCGGGGGCCTTCTCTTTGAATTCTTCCCACTGATGCACAGGTACTGCTCCGTCAGGAAGACTTCCAAGAGCCAGAGCATGAGCAACAACATCCTACACGTGAGCATATCGGGCGAATCATGTCAGTGAAAATGCTGAAACCTGTTAAATCATGACGAATCTACCTGCAGTTCACGCAAACAGCTACACATGAAATCGCCGGGAAAGAAAACTTGAGAGTTCAAACTCAAAACCACAAATGATGTGGTTGGTTCCCTTCTTGAACAGCTTGTTTGATCCTAGAAATAGGCAAGGAGGGCTAGTTTAAAAGCTCCTTCAAAGTAGGACGCTGGTACCCCTCAAACTCCGGGAACCCTCTTGGGCACAGTGGAAGGGTTGTCCAGCATAAATATGGATCCTGGGACAGAAGGCCACAACTTCTGACATCGATAAAAATTGACATGCTTGAAGACAGTGAAAATAAACAGCAGTATGATGTGTACGTGCAGCAGTCCAGCGGGTGTGCTCGTGACCTCAGAGACGCAACATTCGAGAGATCTCAAGATCGCGAGAATGTTCTGGGCATGAACTGCGTTGCAAATTGAAGCGGTGCAAGTGAGAGCTTGACACCAGTTCAGAGAGCTTGAAGAGCTCATTTGGCGGAGTGAATGGTTTCAACTCGAACAATGTGTCAGACCTGGCCAAATACTATGGATATAGCCATGCAATGCCATGCAGCGGAAAAGTATGGACATGTATGGACTATGACTATGAGTCCACAGGATTCCACAGTTGTGTGTTGTAAACAGATAACGTTCAATGAAATGTGTCACAACTTCGTAACATGCCAGAAACGCAAATCTGTGGAATCAGCGTCTCTTGAGGTGTCAACAAACGCCCTTTGCAGGATTGCATCCCTGTGAGGGCCTGAAACAGCTTGAGCCCATTCCACAGTCTTCGCTGTGATTTGAAGAAATGAATGAAACTGATATATGGTCTGTGACGATACAGAATAAGGATGGACCTCATAACCCGGTATCAATGGCAAATCCTGAATTGTTGATATTTATTGTTAGCATTATGACATCGGATTGATCGAATTGATTGTGAGTCATTACTTTTCCTAATGAACATAGAGCAACCCTGCAGAGGAGCCCACCAGCAGGAAGCACTCTCCAGGATTCCACAATGCGCTGCATTAAGCCCCGCTGCAATTCTTGGTATCGCTTCCCTGCAGCATTTTCTTGCATAAACAGCAACACAATACACTCAAAAACAGTCTAAATGAGTGATTCAAATATACAAGGAGCATCCCTGAGCCGGTGACAAGGTAGCATGTTGTGCTGATCTTTTAAGACCTGCAAAAGGGGCACCACAAGCCTTTCCCAAAACATAATCAGCTCAAGCACCTTTTGCCTGGCAGAGATATGCCAAACAGTCTCCATCACCAACACTCTTCCGCATTCCAAGCCGTCTGAGATGAGACAGTACCTCGCATCAAAGAAGGATTCAGCAAAGAGCGCAAATACGGAAAATTGGAATGAAGTATTGACGCCACTGTTCCACTTGGAATACCGAACTGCCAAGGTTGTCTGAGTCTCTGTGCTTGTCTTCAGCTATTCTAGCTGACTTCAGTTGTCTTTCTGTGTGCTTTCTTTTTCTGAGACATGTCTTCTCAATATGTTTCTTCCCGTCTTCCTGTTGTTGGTCTCGCACCGAAGAATATTTGCAGGATTTAGCAGGTCTGACCAAGGCAGTCTGGATAACTTTGACTTGTCAGTTTACTTCTCTAACGCTATCTAGGTCAATCCTGACTCCGACAGGCGTTCAAGTCACAAAGCCAAACAAAGCTGGGGTACCGGAGCAGAGAGGCTCTTTGCTGGAAAGTGATATCTCTGACGCCCATCCAAGGCTGGCCAGTCTTCTTCTCCGTGGAATCCAAAGATCTCTTGGATTGTGAAGTCTTGCGGGTCCAAGATTAAGAACCTTCAGGAAACATTTCTGGGGTGAAAAAGGCGCTTCATGATGCATCAAGCTGCAACAATCATTCCGGAAAGTTTCACAGGAATCCAAGCGCTTGGGCCCGCTGCGGAGGCTTCATCATCTTGCCGTGTGTTTCGGCTGGAACGAGGTAAGGCCTCAGGAAGACTTCATTGCCTTTCTGGTAGCAAAGTTCTTGAATGAGGAAGTTTGGGGGGGAGCGATGAAGAGGTGATGAGAGTGATTTGTAATTGTGTGCTGGATTGCATCTGTTTGGTCACGCCAGGAAAAAAATAGAGCGGCAGCAAGATGTGAAATGTGTCTGCAAGTTATCCGCAAGTCGTCTGCAAATGTGCATTTCCTGAGCCCATTGGCTCGGAGTTGGCCTCTTCAATGTCTTGCAGCAATGGAAGCAATCGTTCCAGCACGATTACCTGAGGGTCTTGCTTCGGCTTGAAATGAAGAAGGCAAAAACAAAGCTGGAGCATGTGCATGGAACTATATATTTATATAGACGAGAAAAAAAAAAAACACTAGAAAGATCTGGAAAGCACACATTGACACCCTACAAATACTGGCAAAGTTTCCACAAATCACACAGCGCAGGCCTGGTCATCGGGAATCATGCTCTCCAAATGGGGCAGAATCTGCTTTTGCAGCCATGTCTTCATATCGAAGTATTTTCCTTGCTCTGCAAGAATCTCCTTCACCTGGCGGCTGAGAATCTGTCATCTGACCGAAGAATGCCCTCATGTCACTCATGTCCTCTGAAATTTGGTTCTTCCTGATGTGCAGCTAGTGAGCATCCTTTGGACTCACCATGAAGGCATCAGTGTTCTTGAGATGACCAAATGCTATGAGATGATAAAAGAATGTTAGAATAAGGTTAAAGAATCGATGATTGATGATGATTGAGTGTATTTGACATTATTTGACATGTTGGATCTAAAATGATCTAAATGGTTTGGAGCTAAATGGATTGGAGCTTCAGCGCAAGGTTTGTGTGCAGTCTAAGAGTGTCCAACGCATTTCAATCGTCTCTTAGAGTGTTAGAGTCTGTTAGAGCACGCTGCAGCATGCTCAAGTTTCATCAAGTTTCTCACCTCAACAAGGCCCAAAGCATCAGAAACTTCTGGAGGCGTCTTTATCGAGACCCGGAACACGAAGGCCGTGTCCAGGTCGAGCCTGCCATCCCAAGGCAATCCAATCTGTTTGAACAAATGGTGCACCCCGTTGAACCCCGTTGAACCCCGTTGCACCATTGGGCAGGCTCAACAATGGTTTATAAAGGCGACTCCGTTACAATGCTTTCGTGATCTGTGTTTGACTCTGCTTTGTGGGGCAACCAGCGAAGGTTCTGTGGTGCAGTCCAGGGCTGCAGTTCAAGAGATGCACTGTGCAACGAGTCAAGACTATCTTCTTTGGATATCGGGAATGCAAAAGAGCTCACACTGACCACTCTGACTCATGTCATCGGGTCAACGTACTACATACCTTATAGCCTTATATATATACCTACCTTTTCCAAGACCGCTTTATGCAGGAGTATATGCAGGAGTCTTTGTTGGGAGGCAAGTTGCACAACAGTGCTGACGGGTGTTGCAAGCAGTGCCTCTAGTGTCCTGGAACCCAGACCTCTGGTATTTCCAGTCAGAGGTACTATATGCACAAAGGAGATAGGAATTGTGTTTTGGTTCAAATGCAGGGTGCCTTTAGGGCTGGTGTATAGTGTTGGGCTTCAAGCGGTACAGAAAACTGCGTAGCTGTGTAGGAATGGCGTTGGAGATTTTGGTTTTGCCGTTGTTTTTTAAATATGTGTATCTGGAAGGTTCATTGTGCAGGCTGCCAACTCTGAATGCAAAACGTTCCAGCATCTAGTAGCTACTCAATCGCAATGTGAGTGCGCAAATATATATATATAATATATAATATATAATAATATATAATATATAATAATATATGATATATAATAAAAAATAATATAATGATATATAATATATAATAATATATAATATATAATAATATATCTAATATATAATAATATATAATATATAATAATATATCTAATATATAATAATAATATATAATATATAATAATAATATATAATAATATATAATATATAATAATATATAATATATAATAATATATAATATATATAATAATATATGATATATAATAATATATAATATATAATAATATATAATATATTATAATATATAATATATTATAATATATAATATATTATAATATATAATATATTATAATATATAATATATAATATATAATATATAATATATAATATATAATATATAATATAAAATATATAATATAGCATATATAATATATAATCTATAATATATAATCTATAATATATAATATGTAATATACAATATATAATATGTAATATATAATATAATATAATATAATATAACAAAATATAATATAATATAACATAATATAATATAAATATAATATAATATAATATAATAAAATAATATATACATAGAAGTAATACATGTTGCATAAATATAGATATTATATATATATATACAGAATTGAAAATGATTGTAAGTTCTCTTGCATTCTACATACAAAACAACTTTGGCGACTGCATGTTTAGTCGAATAAGTTTGGAGAAGTAGTCGAATGAGTCATGCAGGGGCCCCTGTTCGAATTTCCATGAGAGCTCTGGCTCTTCAGTGCCTCACTGGAGCAGATCTGAGTGGAAGTGGTTCGCCATCAACAACTGCGAGCTGCATCAAGGACCGGAAGGCCTTCGATTGCAGAGCAGTGAGCATGGGCAAAAACAGAAATACTGCAGATATTTGCAGATCAAGTGCAGAAATCTTCCATGATCAGCTGAGAAGATACACCGTTTGACTCTTTGATATGGCTACACTGCGACAAGAGGGGATGTGTTCTCTACTGGTTGCGCGAGCACAAGGCCCATAGAGCCTGCAAGTTACTGCCATCTGACCAGGACTCCGCAAGGAAGATTGGAAGCTTGCAAACCTGCACAGCTTCACAGAGGCATGCGAAAACAGGTGAAAATCGATCGTGTTTCACCAAGGTATTGCAACAGATTGTAGATATTTGATGATATTTGTAGATGAGCCGTTTGTGGACTTCAGCTCTGAGCCGCTGGCAACTGATGCTCTGGCCTGCTGTCTGCCGTCTTCCAGTGAACCAATTGGATCGCACAAAGCCTGGCAGAGTTGAGAGCCTCAGTGCTTGGTGCAGCGCAGCTACAGCCTCCGCCAACGAATCCTTTCATCGTTCCTAGCTTTTCTGATGCTTTTCTGATGCTTTTCTGATGCTTTTCTGATGCTTTTCTCTTGTCGGTCTGATCGGCCCGGCAAAACTTCTCACCAAACACCGGACTCAGCCCACAGCGTAGCAGCTCGCGTTGGTCCGGTTGCAAGCGCTGACATCTTGAAATCAAAGAGCTGAACTGCGCTTCAGCAGATGCTGCAAGCACAGTGAGGAGACTGCCTCTCAATCAATTCATAGACTGAATTTCCAGGTCACAGAAACTTCAACCCTCTCTGATTGCAACACTGCACAACCTGCTCAGAACAGTGAGGGCCTCTGCTGAAGGCTTGCACAATGCCTCTTTGTTGCAGAAATCGCAACACGGGGTCTGTCCTGAAACCAAAACAGGCAATTTAAATTCGTTTTACATACTTTTCATGTCCGCTAAAAGTTGGCTCCCTTTTCTGTTCGCAAACTTCGGCAAAGCCAGTGTAGCTCATAAGTAGACAAGCTGGCAAATGCTTGTAGGGTAGCCCACGTGTGCCCCGAGACTTGGAGTTCCAGGGGCGGCGTCTGAGTGCTTGACATGGCCGGATGACTTTTGTCAACCTCGCAGTGCTGGAGATTCACAAGGGTAAACAGGAAACTACATTGAGGTCTTGTGAGTCTTATGTTTACTTAGTGTTTACGTTTACCATCTTTTATCTATGATTAAATTATAATTAATATTGTCTTATCATTTTGCGCTTTGATGTCCTAGGCTTCAGACAAATCGATCCGAAACCAAAGTTGCAGCAACCTCCATCAAGGGTTCCAGATTCTGCTCACACTCCTGGGACAGGATATCTTTGTTGCGAGGCAAGCACACTGCTTGATGCAAGTAGATCAACAATGATCAAGGTAGCTGAAAGTGACAACCCATGGTGAAAGCACAAGCACGTAATGTACAAACATATGGTGCCAAGGCAGAATCCGTCTTGGATCTAAGGATGCAGCTGGAAGCAACAGCGGCTCTGAAGCGCTGAGGGGAACGAGCATCAAAGGCGCATCAATACTTGATGCTGAACTCAGCACCAGAGAGAGAGAGGTTTGTCCATTCAAGTCTATATACCCGTCCAGTTCCCACACATGCGATTTCAAAACAAGCCAAGTGTTACAGTACTTTGGCATGGAACACTTGAGGATAGCTTGAGCGGGTGTGACTGGGTGTGTCAATCCGTCCATTCTTCGATGTCTGAGGCCAGAACTTCTGCGTCCCAGATCTTGCTGCATTCCATGCAGGCACCACATAGAAACCGTCAAAGGCGGACAGAAATTCATCAGACAAGCCATCTTCTGCCTTGGGCCAGCAATGGCCAGCATACTCCAGCAATGTTTCATCAATGTTTCATGCTTGTCTCCACGAGATCGCAGTTGTACGTTGCTGCCATTTGTTTCACTCCTTCCCTACCCCTGTTTCACCTGCGGCTCGGACCAACTGGACAAATGACCAAAGTGCGCAAAGTGTGGAACTGGCATGTTCATCACTTCCGAAGCCAAGCGACCTTCCAGGAGTTTGGATAGTTTGGCAACTAACTATAGGGAACATGACATCATTTTAGAACATGTGAAGAAATTATAGCTCATTATTGTAGACATGGATATCTGGTACTGGTATCCCCTGTTTGGAACCAATCTATACTTGGCAGGCTGTAAGGCAGAGACCCAGCAGCGGCTTGACGAGTGCTTCCAAGAATGCGCCCTGCCAAATCGGTTGTTCTCTTCGATCTTTAAAACATTGACAAATGAGTAACTGGCTCTAAAACGATCAGAACCAGGTGCAAAACGATGAGAGTATATGAGAGTTATCATTGGCATTGGCATGGGTTTCTCGAATTGGCTGTATAGTATTGGCATGGCTGTCAAGAAGGGAACTGCCTGCAAAGGTTTCGTCCAATGATGCCAGAACGGATGAGGAGGGAGGCGAAGCCCGAATGCTTGGAAGTGCCAGAAGCAAAGCTTCCGAAAGCTGTTCACACTTTTCAACATGTCGAATTCCGAGTTTGTCGGCTTGTTGGCGTAGCCTCTCGTGGCTTCTTGCATCTAGTCCAGACAAATCTAAGGTTGCTTTGGAAGCAAGTTGTTGCAAAACTCGCTGGGCAAACGAGCTTCGGGAGTTGTCTGAGACAAAGGCACAGAAAAGCAGTTGATCTGATCCTCCATCACCAAAACAAGCCACCTTGTTGTCGCAGAGCGGAGCCAGCTTCAACCCTTGCAGCTTTGAAGCCGAATCATCCTGCTCTCCACTCAGAATGAATCCTAAGAGTTTGGAAGCTGCAGCACAACTGTACTTGTGATGTGAGTCCTGACGCAAACATGACAATACCAAAGAACGGTCGACGTAAGCCTTGCGCTTGAGACCTGCAGACGAGAATTCCTGCTGTACTTCAGGAACCACGTCGCAAAAGCGATACTTGCCTTCCTTTGACTGGTACAAGTGGCACAAGTATTCATGCACGGCTTGTCTCTGGTCCACTGTTCCAATGTCATCAGGCAGCGGCTGCACAGAATCCACATAAGATACCAGGGGTGCAGCTGTTCGCAAGCCACTTGCGTCCAAAAACTCCGCAAACTGAGTGTGTCCTGTATGCTTCCCGAACTGAGTCTGTCCTGTACTGCCTGTCTCAAAGGAAAGTACTGGGAAAAGTGCGCTGTGGCTGAGGGAAGCGTAAATGGTTGGAAGGTTCAAGAGCTGTTGCAAACTCAAGGGCAGCTGAGATTTGCGTGGCATCAAAGAACACACCCCGTCCCGGTCAGCCCAAACAGCTACGCTTGCTGATTTTTGGGAGCGAAAGGCCTGAAGTGCTGCTGATTGCTCGTGAATCAAAGTACAAATCAAAGGTTCTATGATGTTGTGCAAAAGAAGTCCGTTCCAATCAGACTTAGAATTTGAAGGTTTTGAAGTGCTTCCTCTGACCAAATCCAAACGACCTGGAGCAGTCGGATCGCTCAGGCAGAAGTTCGCATTGATCAAAAAAGGCAAAGAGCTCGTGATCGGCAAAGGCATGAAACAACAAATCCGTGGTTCTTCAGTGCGGAGAGGCCGAGAAAGGCAAAGCGCCAGGCCTCCGAATGGCACATATGCAAAGCTTGCTTCTGATGCCTCTGACGTTTCAGGTTCATTTCGAGTTCCTGCCCATCGTTCATCTTCCGGATTGTCGTGCTGAAGTATCAAGCGCCATGCCTCCTTTCGATTGCAAGGTTCACTGTCGAACTCTTTCTGCAATTCCATCGGAGGTGACCAAGAGATCGAAACGATTAAATTGAACGAAATGTACGGGCGCACATCTGGATGTGACTTGGACATTCCCAAGCGATTCAACATGTCGGAAATGAAAGATTGCTTTTCCTTGCTCTGTGCAACTGTTCTGGAAGAAAACAAACGACGGTACTCCAGTGCCTGCTCATCGGTGGAAATTTCAACAGAGGACATAGCAACTGATTCTCCTACCTGTTTGCTGGAACTGCTGGAATTGCTGCACTTAGGAGTGTCGAGAGACAGTGGGATTCCAGGTGGTGTGATCTTGATTTCCATGAAGGTTTGAGGTGTCCCATTTGCACCAGCATCTGAAGTAATCCAGCTAAAAACAATCCGTTGAACATGCTGCAAAAACACCAGGCATTCAGCAGCAGCATCTCTGAAGGCACGAAGAAATGCCATGGCTGACTCCTGCGATACCAGAGTTTTGCTGATTTCACTTGCCTTGGCTGCTTCCGGTGTTCTGAATGGCATTCGAATCAATGTGCCTTGATAGCGTGTAGAGGAATTCAAATCGCACCCAAACATGCCATGGTAGGGCTCAAATTGATCTCGAAATTTGTCAAGGACATCAATCTTGAGAAATCTCAGCTTGATTCCTGGCTTGGCTGGTGATGCACCCATTGCCTTCAAGTGGTGCACATGAGGGTCTAGGAAGAGTACCACATCGTCACTTAAAATGCTTGGCAAATCGGTCAAGCTGTAGACAGAGTTGAAGCCCAGTCCAAAACGCCCGATCTGTGCTTTGCGGCTTGTGCTCTTCACTGCACCCAGTTGCGTGATATTTTCAAAGTCTTGTGGAGAGAATGAAGCGTTGTTGTGCGCCCAAAGGCAGGGTCCCTGCCATCGCCCCATCTCTGGCGACATGAGAGATTGCCGTCCAAAACTGCGCCAGTCCCATACAAAGTGCACTTCTGAAGCTTTTGCATCGTCCGCGTTTTGCAGCAAAGATTTGAAGAGACCTAAGTCCTCAGATTCAGAAATGTCCCGCAATAAAGAACGCAATCGAGTGGTGAGGGGTTCAGTCTGTCCAGCAGCCTCAAACCACTCCGGATCTTTCTCCCCGTCATCTGCAGCAGCTAAAGCTTCAGCTGCAACTTGAGTACTCAAGGCTTGTACGTTCAATGACACTGCGACATCGTTCGAAATGCTCTGGTGAACCCAATGAAGGCCACTACTGGTGACGGCTCGATTTCTTTTGTGTTGCTCCTCCTCTGAGAGCCATCTCATGTTGTTGAAAACACACTCTTCAGCCGGGCGAAGTTTGCCCTGACTTGTTGGTACCATGACATGCTCCGGGAGATCTTCTCCTTGTGATCTGATTCGCTCGGAAAGAGCCATGGCGAGATGCACTGCTGACTCAGTTTCACCGGGAGACAACTGGTTGCCGTTTGGGTTGCCGTTTGGGACCGGGCTGGCATTCTTCTGTGAAAGTCGGTACAAAGCTCTCGCCAAATCATTGGCCTGAAATTTCGGCCGAATTTGGCTGCAAAGCTTTCGAGCTGTTGCTTGCAGTTCTTTGGGGATCTGATGCAAACCTGCAATGCCAAAATTTTGCGACAGAGATAAATCTTCTATCGGCACAAACGTTCCAGCTACGAAAATCTCATCTAACTGTTGCCATCCATTGGACTTTCCCTCCACCGTCTCATTTGCTTTGGCTTCGCCTGTTATCAACGGATACACATAATGATAGAGACACTTGGAGATCCAAGCTGATTCACTCTCGTTGGCTTTGCCGTCTGGATGCTTTTGCGACCATGAACGAATGGCCTCCAACTGCGCCCAGGCACAGTGAATCCTTTGAATTTCTGGCAGGGAGGAAATACCGAGCAATTCCAGGAAGTCACCGTGTAAGTTCGGCTTCCGCTCACCCGAGAAAACCACCTGTGTTTCAAGGTCAAGGACTGGACTGGCAGCACCACAAGTCCAGAAATCAGACATCAGGACGAGGTCTGATGGCCGCCAGAGTTTGTGAGCACTGCCAGCCCAAGGAATTGCAGCAAGCCATTCTCGCGGCGCTTTTGCTGCAGGAATCCATCGGCAGGAACGAAACTTGCATTTGAGGGTCTCAACATCATCTTCTGCCCATTCCTCTCTCTTTTCCAATGATTCAACCTTCTCAGGACTGCTCCCCGCAGCCGTCAAGAAGTCGCCCAATGGCATGATAGATGACCATGAAAAGAAACTGTGTGCTTTCTCTTTCTTGGCTGCGGAAGCTGATGGTGAGGTGCTTGGTGCTTCTGGGACTGCAGCTGCAGCTGCTGCCGTGCGTACCTGGACTGGAAAAAGTTCACGGAAGACGAACCCAGGCACTGGAAAATGTCCATGGAGAATGTCTGCTGGTATGCAACTCAGGCCTCTTGGCATTTCATGCTAACCGTCGTGGCCGCGTACTGCAGAAAGTTTTCAGCACAGCTCTTCACCTTCCCATGCTCAAAATGAGCCAAGAAGTGCGCAATTGTTGCAGATTTGCACACAATAGATTACAAAAATGCAAGCAGCAAAGCAACACTTCAAAGAACTTCAAACAGTCACAGCAGATCGGGCAGGCGCTCCTTGTCCCATTCTCCCTCTTCAGGGCTATTTGCAGCAAGTTGGTGTTTGCCTCGAACCCCCAAAGGCGCTAGTGAGGAGAAAAAATGTCAGAAACTCGAAGAAAACCAAGATGTTGGGGCTCAGACTGTCAAGGAAGACAAGTCGTTCGTGGAGCTCCTTGTCCAGAATGTCTGGAGGAGTCAACAGGGAAACCTAAAATAGAGGCAGAAACCTCTAGCATTGTATAGCTATGTATTTTATGACTATTGAAATCTATTGAAAGATATTGAAAGATATTGAAAGATTTCACTAATTCTCATATAACGAGAGCTCCAGTGCTGACTGGAAGGAGGAAACTACTTCTCGGCGGGATAACCCTGAAAGAAACCAGTCATCACTCATTCTGCAAAAATACAATCCTGCATGAGTCTGGATGCTTCCACATAATTTGAGGCCAAGGTGTAAGGAACAAAAGCTAGCAGGGTGCATACAACATCGTACAATCGAGAAAACGCAGAAACAAAACCTCACCTGTTCACCTCTGGAGTAATCACAAGGCGTCGAAGCTCCACCCCGCGCAGGTGGAGGTTTGAAACACAAAGCGCTGCATCTCTTGCTGGAAGAACTGTCGGTGCTCACGAAGATGCTGAGTCAAAATGAAATCCATGCTACTACCGATGCTGAGGAAGAGGAGGGGGAAGAGCAGGAGGATGAAAATGAATGAAAATGATGTATCATGGTCATGTAATGTCATGCATACACTGCTACTGACGAGTATGTCTCAATAAGCATCACTCCAGCACAGGGGACCCGAGGGGCGGACCAGGGGCGGCGACACATATCTTAACTAGTTGAGGCATGTTGAGGCTATGAAAGGTTCTAGTGGAGTTCTTGAAATGGCCATGCAGAGTAATTCAGGTATAGAGTATAGATGTATGAACCCCAGGCAGAGTGCGTTTTGCAATGTCCCTGTCTGCCACTTTTGCAGTATGCCTGTTTTGGGAAGATGAGAGGGACTCCTTTCCTCCCTCAGTAGCTATTAGGTGGTACAGCAGAAGAATTAGGTTCTGAGCTGTGAGTTACAAGAGACTGTCTCTGTTGTCGCTCCTTTAAAGATAGTTCCTGTCTGCACCTCAAAAGGCCTCTCTGCATCAAGGGAAGAAGCACCTGCCCCAGTACGTGCTTCTGGACTTCGGTTGTAATGGCAAGTCAAGTTTGACAGGTTCAACAACACAAATCTTGAGCTGAGGTCTACACTGCATTCACTTCTGCTGCAGGGAAAGGCCTAAGAGATGACCGATCTAGCAGTACAAACACCACTCGAAATGGCTGACATCATCTGCAGATTCTGGGCTGAAGATCCATTCTGCCTTTGCTTTTTATGACACTCTATATATTCTATGACAGCACAATTCAACTGGGTTGAAGTCCCATCTCCCATATACAGGAGCTTCAAGTCCTGCTAAATCGACAGTTGAGACTCTTGAGACTTGCAGAACATGGGACACCGCGGAGGCAGTTTCTTCGGTAGGCAGCCCTTCTGTCCTCCTTTCGGGGATCCAAAAGAGTGGCCGGACTTCGCATCTGTCCATCGACCTGAGGTGCCATGACAGCCATGATATGACAGGTCTGACAGGTCTGACAGGGTGGGTCTGATCCGTGCAGCCTTCTGAGAACCAAGCTGTTGGAATGAAGGACACTAGCTGCAATGCCTACAGGAAAGCATAGGAAAACAACATGTGTTTCTGCTGCCTGGCCTTCCCCGTCCTTTGAGTCCAAAAGTTCACATTTCAAACTTTGAGAGAAGACCTTGTGACTTCTGTCACTTCCATCTAGGGCTGAAGATAATCAAGCCTCGGATGCCTGTTTACAATTGTTTACATAATTCCATTGGCAGATTTAGTATTCTGCCGCGATAATATGGAACAGTCCACGCTTCTGTTGGAAGTGTGCTCGTGCCTCAACGCATTGTTCGTTTCCAGCCAGCTCCATCTGCCTCCATCGCTGCACCTCTGCTTTCTCTTGCCAAAAAGACAAGAAATCTGTGGAGTCTGTGACTGTGAAGTCTGAGTGGAGTTTCTCAGATTCAAGCGATGGCCAGCATCAACCCCTGCCGTGCAGTCGGCTCTACTTCAGGCTTGGATGCCTTGGTCGACACCATATTTGCAGCAGCATCTCAAAAAAAGCTGACCAGCTTGAGTGCCAGGCCCAAGGGAAAACGTGCCCCAGAAGGACCTCAACAAGAATTCCAGAGATGAATGGATGCTAGAGACGGGGTGAGTTATGTAGGAGCAGAAAAGTAGCCTAGCAAACGCCAGTTGCAAGTCTTCCCAACACACCCCTTGCCTCCGCCCAAGTAAGCCGTGGCATGTGAAGCTCGCGTACCAATGCTGCAACGTTCTCTGCGCCGACAGGTTCAACACAACCAGGCCTGGGACATCGGAACATGCCGGAACACAGCGGAATGGAAAAACGGGCAATAGTCCAAAATGGTTTGAGTTTTTATAATCTACACATATTACACATTAATATGTGTTTTCATACTTGTTTGTGGTGTCACAGGTGCTCATTCTGTGCACAGTTGGTTCATCAGCCTCCCCCTGTGAGAGTGCTTCATCTTTACTAAGAACCGGGCATTGGAATTCCGGCTGCTCGAAGTGCCGCTACTACTTCAGGGCATGCCTGTGGATTCAACTTGAGAAAGTTAGAGAATCTGAGAAAGTTTGGAATAGCGTGGGACAGTCTGGAATAGTAGCCTTCGAAAATCTTCAACATTTCTTCAAGGTTGCATTGCGTTGCATTCCACATGGCATTGAATATATTGAAGAGAAACATGAATGATCATGAATGGCATAGCAGATCATAGCAGGCATGGCAGACACAGCATCGTTTTTCAGCTTCTGTCTGCACCTCAGGGAGAAGGGACCAGCTCCCTCTGCTCCCTTTCGGTAGGGCATGAGAGTCAAAGTCCACTATAGCCACCTGCTCCTGGGGTTGTAGGACTGTACAAAAATGGAATAATTATACGATTTGAATCGATTTGATATGATATTGACCTGATAGGTATCTTACATGATATCTCAAATGGTGTGAATTCGTGTTGAAAGCATCTGAAAGCACGCGATTTTGTGCTTTGCCGGCCTGTCGAGCGAATGGCGAAAACAGAGGTGCCGTTCGGAAGATCTCACACTTCAGCCTCACAGATTCGCAGTGCCGATGGCACTGGAAAACTGTCTCAAGCTCAACCGTTGCCAGCCTCCATGCCGCAGGGTCTTGTCCGCCCTCGTTCCAAGCGCAAATCAGATCATGGCAAACGAATGCAAATGACATCTGTCAAATTTCAGTACAACCAGCAATACAAATTCAGTTGAGCCCAAACAGTTGAAGGTCTAGGCATGCTGCATTTGCACTGTGGCAATCCTTCAGGCGACAGACAGACTTGTCTCTTCCAGCTGTTCAAGTCCTTTGGATCCTTTGGATCCTTTGGTTTCGGATGGTTTCGGTATGTTTCGGTTTGCTGACAATCTGACACGATCAACGTTTTCATCGTTTTCTAGTGATAGCGACGATCTGAGGGCCACGCACAGTTTTCAGGTCCAGCCATCACCAGCCACGCTGCCAAAGCACTATGCTGCTCGGCAGTCAGGGAGCCGAACCTTCCAAAATACCAAAGAAATGACGAGTTCAACGAGTTCTGTTACATGAGTTGTGTCCATGGTCCATGTCCGTGATCGAATGTTGAAATGTGACAAACTGACAAACTCCAGGGCGGAAGCAGCTTTCGGAACTTCAGCACGGCTCCAAGGTGTCCCTGCAGCACTCCATGTCCATTAGCATGTCAACTGACTCTCTTGTGACTCCACATGACTCCACCATACTGCACTGAGTACTTGAAGAATCTTGAAGAATACATGACATAAGAATACAGAGTACTGGTATGCTGATCTTCTCTTTGAGTGTCTGCAGTATCCATCAGTATCCCAATCTGCCACACCTCTTTCTCCCCCTGGAGGGCCAGCGCACGAAGTCGATTGTGACAGGCCTCGTTGCAAGTGATGTTCCAAGGTGCGCTGACTTCACTTTGATAGTCGTGCCTTCATCAAGCCATCAGCTGTTCCAGGATGCACGAAACCGTGCAGTTGGCTCTCTCGTTCTTGCAACCAATCTGGTAGCCACACCTCAGAGTTTTGGTAGAATTATTTTGTAAAAGTTCCAAGAATTCCTATACTGCGTTCAGTCTTAGGTTGCCACTGGTGTGCATCCAACCTTCTGCATCAAGCCCACCTCAGGACTTTAGACTCCAGGTTCAGCTGACTGGTTCAGCTCATTGGTTCCACCAGTGAAAGTGAAATGTTCAGATGTTTTTCCATGCTCAAAGCATATCCCTGATATGCCCCAAACTTCCAAATCAAACCAAAGAACTAACCCTGGGACCCTTGCCAGTGGTTCTCCAAATCTTCCTTCAAGCAAGCCACTGGACCTGAAAGGGAATGTGACCCTTTGTTGAAGCATAGTCAAGCCCTCAAGGTCACAAGATGTCACAAGCAGCTAAACTCCTTTTTGATCCTTTTTGCCTTTCAAGTCACTTTGTCTCCTCTGACTCCTTCTGGCTGAAAATAGTGCTGTCTGGAACAAGCCTCGCACTTTTGAAACTTGCCTTTCTCAGGGAGAATCCACGTCATTCATTCTCACTGTCTTCATTTCTTAAAATGCATTCTCACGGTCTCACGGTCTTCATTTCTTCAATTTTCTCAAACATCCATTTAGTTCTCAACAAAAACAGGCCTGTGAAGTCGCGCAACAACCTGTGTAGCGGCCGGCCCGCCCACCTGCTCAAACACTCCGCTTAACAGCAAACGTGTGAAGATCTGCAAAGTGAGTGCACAGAATTGCCACCTCTGTACTTGCGTTGGTAACCTGGGTCTTGTCGGTCTCAGATTTCCTGAAATGTCTGATGCACATGTCCAGATCTGAGAGCTAGTTATTGGTCCAACTGCGTGCTTAAGTTGGTGGGCAGGGGCCCCTTCGAGAGGTGAGAACTGTTGTTCAAATTTCTTTATATATCTTTATATAGCTGATAGATTAAAATGTTCTGCTTGCATTTTGGACTTCTTGCCAGCTGCAACCTGGCTGTGCCCTCAACCAAGTGAAACCACCGCACTGAGCATATGGCTTGTGACTTATGGATTATATATAATATATATATATATTTATATGATTTCTAATGAGTCTTATGTCAGTCCCCGAGTCACTCCACTTTTCATCTTGCTTTGTTCTTGCTTTGTTTGCAGAAAGGTTCGGGTTTGGAAAGCGACGTGAGAATCAGCACTTGGCCAGACGTTTGTCTTGCCCAAACGTTCTCCGACTCCTACTGCCACTCCATGTCATCATGTTCAGTTTCGCATCTCGCCAAGGCTCTCTCTCAAACTTGGCAGAATGGGCCAGTGCATCATATTTCTCGCTGGTACCTGATTCAGCTGCACAATAATACAAAGATTTGTTGATCTACGTATTGATTTCCGCAATCGCTCTTCCGCATACGCTCAACATGCATGCGCATCCTCACAAACACGAGCAAGCAATAAACAGATATAAACAGCTATAAACCACAAAGAGAGGAGAGAGGGGGATAGAGTTGTGACAGCCACTGAGTCGCATGCACTCATTCGACTGAGCCAGTTCCACCTGAGCCAGTTCCGATATTTTCAGAAATACCTCCCTTGACTCCTTCAGGAGAGCAAAGATGAGCAAAGGATATGAACAAAATGATCTCCCACATGCTGCAGCTGAGCCACAAAGCACGCAACCATGTCTCCGCCCAACCTTGACGGCAGAGAAGTCTATTGAGTCTAGGGGGAGGGCTCCAAATAGCGCTGTAAGTGCAGGCCTTCCCAATCAGACTTCCCGACTTCAGGCACTGGGACATTCCAGGTCTTTGGCAAAAGCTCCTGGCCCAGTGTGGCTCAATCTCTTCACAATGATGCTTCCATATGCTTCCCCTTTTGGAACATTCGAGAACTTTAGTGCAAACAGCACACTAGCCTATGTCAGAGCACTTTAACATACTTTAACACACACTCTCTCTCTCTCCCTCTCCCTCTCCCTCTCTCTCTCTCTCTCTCTCTCCCCTGAGCCATTTCTGCCAAACTTCACACAGGCAGGCCAAAGTATGATAGTAGGACGAAAGCAAAAGCAAGAGCAGAAAGGCTCGACCAGTCAAAAGGGAATGTCAGGAAATACAGTATCTCACAAAAAAACAACTCGAGCCAAGCAAACCACAAGTCTGTGACAAGGTTGGAACCCCCGCTTGGAAAGTTTTCAGATGTGCGCAGCGTATCTACATTCAAGAGCATTTAAGAATAAGGTCACGGCAAGGAGGTCCTGCAATGCAGACATCAAAGGAGAAACGGTCATTTTTCGAAGCCTGGCAAACATTGCTCAAAGGCGGGCAGGATGATGAAGTTAGGCACTTAGGCATTGAGCCTCAGAATATCCTCCGCACAATTTGGGGCACGTTTCCACTATCGGCGGTTTGTCTTTCCCATACTGAGTCTGAAATTTGACTGAGGTTGACGCTGAAAGCTGGGTCCCTCTCCTGACGACACGCTTGATTCCCCAAACAAACAACATGCCTGCAGTGCCACGAATTCCTTGTATCGGTTGACTGGGCTGGACTTCACTTGACGCCATTCTTTGCAGATTTTGCCAAACCTGCGTGCAACGCAGGGGAAAAAGGCTAAGTCTTTCCTCTCCTCCTCATCCCTGCTAATGCTGATAAATGCTTTGCTTCGGCCAGTGTCATAATCTAAGTGCTAAACCCATGGTCGTGAGTTGCGGATCCGTTTCGAGAGAAGCCGACGAGGAGCCTGTATTGCACAGCGGAATCAACCATTCAATGCTCAAATGGCTCAAACCCTCATAAACGGTTCTGGCAAAAAAGAGGCTGGAAATCCTTCAATTTTGCTAAGGTCTTTCTTTGACAAATGATTGAGCCAATAGACTATAGAATAGTGCACAGATTGAAAGCTACATTGGGAATCATGCTATTTTATCATTTGGAATAGTTGGAGCGAGTTGAATGCTCAGAACAGCCCAAGGTGTTGCCATGTGTTTGTTTTTCTGTGCTTGGGTGGGTCAAGCTGTGCATTTGCCTTTGTGTATCGTCTGTTCTCCAAAAGAGTCCTGAACATTATACAACCTTTTTGTCGTACAATGACATCAAAATGCAACGCGCGGTGCTACGGATGAGGATGCATAAAGAAGAGAGACACACTGGATCCTGGGGCGCAGTGGAGTGTTGTGCTTTGTATCTACATGTGCTCTTGAGCCAGTTCTGTGCCTCTGCGCAATATCTCTTGAATGGGTTGGAGGACCATCTAACAGGCATCACATCTTGACTCTTTGATCAGGCCAATATCGCTTGTTGAATGAGATTCAAGCATTCAGCCAAAAGGAGCATGCAAGTGATTTTGAGTTGCTCAAAGCTTGACTTGCGGCTTTGAATTGCCATGAAGTGTTTACTTTATCTACATAAATTCTGCATTCATGATCCTTACTTCGGAAGGACACAAATTCTGAAGGATCTTCTCGGCTTACAAATTTGGAGTAAGCTTTCTGAAGGAGCGCAGCATCTGACGCACACTCAAAGAGAAATGTGCATGAAAACGGGAGAAAAGCCATTGCGTGCCATTGATTCTTCATATTGGATAGGCCGAGGCCTGTGGAAGCAGTTGGTACTCCTCCTCATCCTGGCAACAATGATGCTTCTTTCAGAAACTGTCAGAACTTGACTGGTGAAGTGGCCTCTGGTACAAAGAGCATCGATGTTCCAGAAAGTGTAAATGGTTGAGTTCCCGCTGTCATGTCCTGCCAGGGCAAAATACATGACAAGTCTTCAGTCTGAAAAATCGCCATGACGCTTTCAGAATACTGGACATCTTTGGGGGCTGTCGCCTCCGTGAAAAGAAGTGGAACTCCCTCCAAATCACCAAAGTCATTGTCTGCCAACACAAAGTCAAGGAAAGCCACTGCCTCACAGCTGGGATTTGAAATCCATTGGGCTGCAATCTATTGGTACTATGTTTTTTTGTTGTGCAATTCACTGATTCCTGGAGGGGGCCTACAAATTGACCTTGTTGAATCACGTAATGCTGAACGCCCAAGTCAGCTGGCCCTGCCTCTTCGGGTGTCAGGCTCCCAATGGTAATGCCCTCGCCACTTTTCTGGGCTGAATCCTAAGAAATAAAGCAGGCCAATGGTCAGAACCACACAAACTTTTGCCATTCATTTCTTTGGTGGAGCAAAAAAAGATCAAAAACAAGATCCGTACATCTGAAGAGTCTCGCAAATCGAATCCACCTGGGAAATCTGTGAGGGCCCGCTGGCCCGCTGTGAAAAAAGTAAACAACCAAACGCATCTGCAGGGCTTTGCATTTGCAAGAGATGTCTTGAGGAGAGTACGCTTCGGAGTAGCTGAAGGAATAGATGAAGCACTGATATTGCGCAGAAACTGCCGCAACCATGCTGGTGTCAGCCTGATTGGTGCAGCATGGATATCATCATATATCATCCCATTCCGGAATCAAAGGCGCAGAGTGACTCGGACTGCGGCGTTCGTGGGAGAATCGGATGAAGCACTTGCTCAAAGGACTCCAAGACAGGCAGCGGAATCTTCACAATCGGAACTCCAAAGCGAGCCAGACCTCCGACCGACTTCGACCGAGGACCGCATGGCAAGATGCTCCTTCATCGATCGTAATTCAGAGCTTGACAAGTCAAGTCTCTAGCAGACTGTAGCATTTACTGTCCTTATCTTTCCTTCATTACTTTAGAATTTGTTCAATAGAAAGATATCAGCAGATATCAGCAGAATTTTCAGCACCTATCTGAGTCTCTTGCTGGCAATGATCTTGTCGAGCAAGGCGTTTGCTTGTTCTGGCGGTCCACCACTTGAGAGCTTGGCCTCGATCGGGATGCAGACTGGACAAGAGAGTCCATGCGTTGGCAAAGACATAGCATTCGACATCTCATTGCTGAAATCAGAAGTCAAAAACAGACAACACCACAAGTTCCCTGTTTATATCTGTTTATTGTGACTGTTGAAAAATGATGAAAAATGTGTTGTTTTGGCGTGTCTGCTGTTGCTTTTCGGAGTTAGACAAAAGAAATGCAGCAGGACCTGTGCAGATCCAGTGCTCAAGTGCTCAAGCCTCTCTTTTGGAGCAGAAAACAGCATCCCGAAAAGGGACGCACTTCTTCATGGAACCTGCTGCCTTAGCTTGAGGTGTTTTTTATTGTTTTTTGGGGTTCCAAATATCTGACGAAGCTTCACTGTCTAGGGCTAGGGTTGAGCAGGAAAGAATGGTCAAGGATTCAGGATGGTAAAAGTCTCTCGGCCGTGAAGCTGAAACAAAATGAAACAAGCTCAGCATATCTCAGCATTAAACTGTAGGAAATAGTGGTTCAGGCCGGCGAATAAGGAGTTTGTAGAAGGAATGCGCCTTGAACAGCACAGCGTCAGATCACATCAGCACATTACAAGAGACTCGGAAAGACTCGGAAAGACTCGGAAAGACTCGGAAAGACTCGGAAAGACTCGGAAAGACTCGGAAAGACTCGGAGAATTTGGAATGTCTTGGACTCCGTCTTGGAGTATCTGTGTGTTGTAATATAATGTAATATGAAGGATCATATTATCAATATGATTCAATATGCAGTATCCTGAATTGAGCATAATTGAGCCACGAAGCCACACGATCGGCGACACCAACTTCAGGATGCGCATCTTTCCTTTCAGTTTTCTGGCCTGTTTCAGTCTCGGGATTCTACGGGATCTTTGTAGCCAAATAGATTTGAACCATTTAAAATTTACAATCATTTGAAAGTTTCACATCTTTTACTCCAACGAAGCTGTTGCGAATGATAGCACTCAAAGCACCTGTTGCGGCTCCTATGCTTCTCTGAAGCACTGGAAAAATGCTGAAGAAATCCTTCCGACAGTGCACAGCAACTCTTGAAGTTGTTCACGTTCTTTGAGGGTGTCTTAGGGTGTCTTTTGGTGTCTTTGCGTTTCAACAGTTGTGCGGTTTTCACTGCATTCTCAGCTTGGCTGTGGCTCGCCCGGTATTTCTACGTCCTCAGGAGTGGCCAGGTTGGAAAGATTGATGGCACACCTCGCCAAGCACCTGGGTGCAAAGTGGATATGCTGGCCATTGGACTTTCATATCCAATGTATATATCTTTCACATATCTTTCACAGCCTCTACGGTCTACAGTTTCAGCTTCAGACTCCGGAATGCGGACATCCAGCAGGCGGACCTCGTCTCATAGTGCAAGTGTAAGCGTGGGGGATGCTCTGACATTCTGCGGATGTTTGCAGGCTCTTTGAAGCCTTTGTTTGTCTTTCTAGTCTTTTTTCTTAGCAGCTGCGTGATCCACACAGCACTACAGAGCGCACGGCAGGGGGTACTTGATTGAACGAAAAGAAACTGAGCAGCCAAGCGTTTGTGCTGATAATTTCATTGTCACCAACGCGATTGTCCAAAAGAACATTCCGGCGATCTTGCGTAGTGTTCAAAGGCCTCAGTGTCAGAAGCCTCTTCTCTGTGAGGGATACGGAATACGGAAGAGAGTAGGTTTCAATTCCACCTCGAAACATCTCCAAACCAAGTAAATGTATGTAGAATTTATGTAAATGTGATTTAACTGGAAACTCTTCAAAACTCTTCGAAACAGCATCTGTGATGTCTGTGAGCAGACCGAAAACGCATCTGCGGTGGGCTGCACAAGGCTGAGGCAGCTGAGGCTGAGGCAGCTGAGGCTGAGGTTCGAGCGCATGCACATGCAATGCAACACGAAGGGACACAGCACTTGGTGGAAGGGGCAAGAAGCAGAACAAACGGCCCTGAGCGATGGAGCGATAGATGTGTGGAAATGACATTTGAAATGACCAAGACTTTGCTGAAATCAAAGAGGCGAATTCTGAAGATACAAAATGCAAATACAGGTAGGATATCCCATGCCTCTTCTTGCCGCAATTTCACTGGGTGTTTTGTAGATGCAGGAAGCTCCTGATTCTGCTCACGCGATGATGCCCTTCAGTGCCCTTCAGTCCATGTGTGTGAGTGGTTACCTGTATGAGTAAGCTAGCGACGACAAGGGGAATTGCAGCGCAAACTTGTTCAGATACTCCGCAGTCTTCGCCGCCAACAAGCCTGGAGAAGCTGTTCAGAGGGTTGTGAGAGTGGTGCGCCAAAGAGTAATCAGGTGCTGTCACACTTGGTGGCTAGGGTCGAATGTGGCCTGTAGGACAGGCAACGCTGGTATGGAGGGGAGCCAAAACTCTCCGTGCTAATGCTCACGTCTGCGACCTCGAGAAAGAACAAGCACATGTCTAAACCCAGAATACAAAGAGATCAAAGAGATTCATGCGAGTCATTCTGGAAATGCAAAACTGACGCGGCATGGAAATGCAAAATGCTGAACTTGAGAGCCCGGCAGAGTCTGAACCGATGGCAGAAACCCTTGGTCTGGGAGCTTGAAGTTCCAGGGCCATGAACTCCACAGGCTCTGCATCTTCGCCACCTTCGCCACCTTCGCCCTGTCCGCCCTTTCCGCCTTTTCCTTTCTCTTCCTTCGAAGTTTCATCTTTCAGAACTGTAGGGACAGATTGTGGCATCAGCTTGACCTCAGAACAATACCAGTATCTCATTGTCTCACAGTCATGCTTGCCCATGTAGAGTTTACAATGAGTCTACTGGTGCAGTTTTGTGTTTATATATGTTTATATTATATTCCGATTCCATTGCTGCACTGGTTCTTGTCTTTATTTATTTCATATTTCATGTTGTTTCATGTTGTTTCTATGTATTTCTCGTCTTGCTTTTTGCTGCTCATGTTTCAGGCCCCACACCTCGCACAAGCACTGTATCCTCGAATCTCCTTCTCGGATCTCAGACAGTCGAATCCTTGGGAGGAGTCCAGGGCCATTGGGCCACTGGGCCACTGGTCCACTTGAGTTTGGACAGTTTGGACAGTTTGGACTTCGAATCCCTGAGGAATCTGCTTCGCCACACTTTGCAAGAAGAGTAACCATTGAAAGGCTTCCTTCTGGAATCGCGATGAGAGCCTTCCGCTTCGCCAGGCAAATCTGTTTCACGCAAAATCAAATCCATGATTCCAAGGTTGTTAACAACCCAAGGTCCAAACACTTCTGCTGCTGCAGCGTCAAGCTGAATGCTGCTGACCTGAGCAAGAAGTTTCACAAACGAACGGTGCATATGGCGCATCCTGCGGATGGTGTGGATGAAAGTTGCACCTCGCTGGTTTTTGCCACTTCCGGAGTTCTGAAGGGAACACGGATCAACCTTAAGGTTGGCATCAGCATGAGAATGACTGGCCTGGCATCAACAAGAACACAGTACTGTTTTTCCTGTTTTTCCCTCTACATCCGTCGACAGCAGTCTCTTTGCTAAATTGGTGCAAACACAAAAAAAAAAATGTAGGGCGCAAGCGTGCCCTCAAATGGATGTGACGACGAGAGGTCGCATCCCAGCATCACATGATACGGCTCAAACCTGCTCCATCTACAACGAAAGGCCGGTAAAATCGGTAAAGCAATCATTTCTTCATTGCGAACGGATGCAAGGGAAGCAGAAGACATAAGCAGAAGCAAGCGTCAGCATGGAACAGAAAATGACTTGCCAGTATGGCTGATCTCTGAACTTCTCCAAGACCTCAGAAACACAGCCCTGGCGAGCCGATTGCTTCAGGATTCCAGGTTATTTATCTTATTATAATGTATATGTATATATGATTATATATATATATATACGATTATGATGATGATAGTGATGGTGATGATGGTGATGATGATGATGATGATGATGACTTATATATTTTATATGTGTGAATATTTATATATATATATACATGCGTATAAATATATATATATACAAATATATATATATATATATATTGTACATTCAAGATATTATTATATTATATGTTGTATATTGTATGTGTATATATATATATGTTATACATATTCGAAGGAAGTTTGGAAGTCAAACTTCCGACAATATGGAGAGATGAAAAAGCAGTCAGCAGCGAGAAGAGTCAGAAGAAAGAAGATGCAGGTGCGCGAAAAGGTAGGAAAGTCGCGAAACACTGTGTTTTTTCGTGGTTTTGTGGCTCCGGAGGGTTGAAAAGTAGGCTCGCTAAAGCGGCGGGTGCGGAGACATCTCGGGAGATGAGAGATGAAAAGTTGCACGCCGTTGTGGCGCGAAGCACATTTGGAAGTAAAATGTGTTAAAAACTGAGGGGTTCGGACCACTTTTGGAAGTTGAGATGTCGAAAAAGTGCACGCCGTTGTGGCGCGAAGCACATTTCCAAGTCAAAATGTACAAAAACACACCATTCTCGGTGACGCGGATCGATTCTCGGACCACTTTTTGGAAGTTGAGATGTCGAAAAAGTGGCACGCCGTTGTGGCGGCGAAGGCCATTTCGAAGACAAAATGTCAAATAAAAACCCAGGGGTTCGGACTGCACTTTTGGAGGTTCAGATTCTGCTAGGCGCTTCACGACATCTACACTACATTAGGCCTACACTACAGCTCCATCTAACACTACGGCTCCACTACACTACATCTAAATACACAACACTACCACTACAACTATTAACGACACACCTACAACTCGCACTAACAGTAGCCTCAATTACACTACACTACACTACATTACACTACACTCCACTACACTACACTACATTACACTACACTACCTTCCACTACATTTCACTACATTACACTACACTACACTCCACTACACTACAACTACAACTACGACTACACAACTACACTCCACTACACGAAATTACACTACACTACACTACATTACACTACACTACACTACATTCCACTACACTCCACTACACTACACTACATTACACTACACTACAATACACTGAATGACACTGCACGCCGTTGTGGCGCGAAGCACATTTGCAAGTGAAAAAGCTAAAAACACCTCACGTTCGGACCACTTTTGGAAGTTGAGATGTCATAAAAGTGCACGTCGTTGTGGCGCGAAGCACATTTCGAAGTCAAAATGTACAAGACACACCAGGTCCAGACCACTTTTGGAAGTTGCGATGCTGAAAAAGTGCACGCTGTTGTGGCGCAAAGCGCATTTCGAAGTCAAAATGCACAAAACACACCAGGTCCGGACCACTTTTGGAAGTTGCGATGTCGAAAAAGTGCACGCGGTTGTGGCGCAAAGCACATTTCGAAGTCAAAATGTACAAAACACCACATGTTCGCTCCACTTTTGGAGGTTCAGATGTCGTTTCGCGCGGCAGGGGCAAGGGATTGTGCACCTTCTCAAAAGTGAGCAAAACGTGAGGGTTCTGTAGCTTTTCTACAAACGATGGCAGGCGTGGGACATTTGAAGAGGATCTGCAAAGATGCATTTTCCGTGGCAGGCGCAGTACAAGAGACATCTTCATCAGAGCTGTTAGGAGGTCCGGGCGCTGATTTCCTGAGAGGGGTTGCATTTTGGAGCATCAGATCTTCAGGTTTGCTGAGATGATTTTGCGTGACAGGTGCAGCACTTCGTATGACCTGGCATCACTTTTTCGTGGCAGGCGCAGTAGTTTAGACAAATGGATTGGAAAAATTGCAAAACTCATTGGCACGAGGCCGTCAGCTCTGCACTCAACTTTCCATTTTTGAAGGAAGTCTCGCATAATTCTTTCGTTTTTGTTGATGTTGTCAACTTCGAAAAATGAGGAAATGTCGCAGAATTGCTTCGTTTCTGACGTTGTCAAGTTCAATAATTGAGGATGTCTCGCAGAATTGCTTCGTTTTGACGTTGTCAACTTCAGACATTGAGGAAGTCTCGCAGAATTGCTGCGTTTTTGATGTTGTCAAGTTCAAAACCTGAGGATGTCTCGCAGAATTGCTGCGGTTTTGATGTTGTCAAGTTCAAAACCTGAGGACGTCTCGCAGAATAGCTTCGTTTTCAAGCTTGCAGATAGACAGGTAGATAGATAGACAGACAGACAGAGAGATAGACAGAGAGATAGATAAGAAAGAAAGAAAGAAAGAAAGAAAGAAAGAAAGATAGATAGATAGATAGACAGACACAGAGAGAGAGAGATAGATAGATAGATAGATAGATAAATAGATAGACACATGCATAGATAGATAGTTAGATAGACAGATGAGAGAGAGAGATAGATAGATAGAAAGATAGATAGATAGATCGGTAGTAGATAATCAAGATCGGTAGGTAGGTAGGTAGATAATCAGAGAAAGAGAGAAAAAGAGAGAGAAAGAGAGGAGACATCAATCACCTTTCGATCCATCAGTGGCTTCGCTCTGCCATCCGTGATTCACAACAACCAACCTCTCCTATAGGTTTCCTAGTTTTGAAACTTCCGCCACCGCCTTGTGCGGTACTACTGGTATATTGTATAGTATATATTGTATATTATATATTGTATAAATAATTATATATATATATATTGTATGTATATATATATATTGTATATTATCGAAGGACCGAAGGAAGTTTAGAAGTCAAACTTCCGACAATATGGACAGATGAAAAGCCGAGACGGGAAGAGACAGAGAGAAGAGAAGAGTAGAAGAGAGAAGATCAGAGAAGAGAAAGAGTCAGAAGAAAGAAGCCCAGATGCGCGAAAAGGTAAGAAAGTCGCGAAACACTGTGTTTTTCCAATGATTTGTGGCTCTGGAGGGTCGAAAAGTAGGCTCGCTAAAGCGGCGGGTGCGGAGCCATCTGGCCAGATGAGAAATGAAAAAGTGCACGCCGTTGTGGCGCGAAGCACATTTGCAAGTGAAAAAGCTAAAAACACCTCACGTTCGGACCACTTTTGGAAGTTGAGATGTCATAAAGTGCACGCTGTTGTGGCGCGAAGCACATTTCGAGGTCAAAATGTACAAAGCACACCAGGTCCAGACCACTTTTGGAAGTTGAGATGTCATAAAAGTGCACGCTGTTGTGGCGCGAAGCACATTTCGAACTCAAAATGTACAAAACACGCCAGGTCCAGACCACTTTTGGAAGTTGCGATGTCGAAAAAGTGCACGCCGTTGTGGCGCAAAGCACATTTCGAAGTCAAAATGTACAAAACACCACATGTTCGTTCCACTTTTGGAGGTTCAGATGTCGATTCGCGCGGCAGGGGCAAGGGATTGTGCACCTTCTCAAAAGTGAGCAAAACGTGGGGGTTCTGTAGCATTTTCACAAACGATGGCAGGCGTGGGACATTTGAAGAGGATCTGCAAAGATGCATTTTCCGTGGCAGGCGCAGTACAAGAGACATCTTCATCAGAGCTGTTAGGAGGTCCGGGCGCTGATTTCCTGAGAGGGGTTGCATTTTGGAGCATCAGATCTTCAGGTTTGCTGAGATGATTTTGCGTGACAGGTGCAGCACTTCGTATGACCTGGCATCACTTTTTCGTGGCAGGCGCAGTAGTTTAGACAAATGGATTGGAAAAATTGCAAAAAAAAAATTAGAACGAGGCCGTCAGCGCTGCACGCAACTTTCCATGTTTGAAGAAAATCTCGCAGAACTGCTTCGCTTTTGATGTTGTCAAATTGAAAATTGAAGAAGTCTCGCAGAATTGCTTCGTTTTTGACGTTGTCAAGTTGAAATATTGAGAAAGTCTCGCAGAATTGCTTCGTTTTTGATGTTGTCAACTTTGAAAATTGAAGAAGTCTCGCAGAATTGCTTCGTTTTCAAGCTTGCAGATAGACAGGTAGATAGATAGACAGACAGACAGACAGACAGAGAGAGATAGATACAAAGATAGATAGATAGATAGATAGATAGGGTAGGATAGGATAGGATAGGGTAGGGTAGGGTAGATTAGATAGATAGATAGATAGATTGATTGATAGATAGATAGATATAGATAGATATAGATAGAGATAGATAGAGATAGATAGGTATAGATAGATATAGATAGATATAGATAGATATAGATAGATATAGATAGATAGATAGATAGAGATAGATAGATAGATAGATAGATATATATAGATAGATATAGGTAGATATGGATAGATATAGATACATATAGATACATATAGATAGATATAGATAGATATAGATAGATATAGATAGATAGAGATAGATAGAGATAGATAGAGATAGATAGAGATAGATAGAGATAGATAGAGATAGATAGAGATAGATAGAGATAGATAGATAGATAGATAGATATTATAGATAGATATTATAGATAGATATAGAAAGATTTAGATAGATATAGATAGATAGATATAGATATAGATAGAGATAGATAGATATAGATAGATAGAGATAGATAGGGATAGATAGAGATAGATAGAGATAGATAGAGATAGATAGAGATAGGTAGAGATAGATAGAGATAGATAGAGATAGATAGAGATAGATAGAGATAGATAGAGATAGGTATAGATAGATAGAGATAGATAGATATTATAGATAGATATAGAAAGATTTAGATAGATATAGATAGATATAGATAGATATAGATAGATAAAGATAGATATAGATAGGTATAGATAGATATTATAGATAGATAAAGATAGATATAGATAGATATAGGTAGGTATAGATAGATGTAGATAGATATAGATAGATATAGATAGATATAGATGGATATAGATAGATATAGATAGATATAGATAGACATAGATAGATATAGATAGATAGCTAGAGATAGATAGGGATAGATAGAGATAGATAGAGATAGATAGAGATAGGTAGAGATAGATAGAGATAGAAAGAGATCGATAGAGATAGATAGAGATAGATAGAGATAGATAGATAGATAGGTAGATAGATTGATAGATCGATAGTTAGATCGATAGATCGATAGATCGATAGATCGATAGATAGAGATAGATAGAGATAGATAGAGATAGATAGAGATGGATAGAGATAGAGAGATAGATAGATATAGATATAGATAGACATAGATAGATATAGATAGATATAGATAGATACAGATAGATATAGATAGATAGAGATAGATAGAGATAGATAGGGATAGATAGAGATAGATAGATAGATAGATAGATAGAGATAGATAGAGATAGGTAGAGATAGATAGAGATAGATAGAGATAGATAGAGATAGATAGAGATAGATAGAGATAGATAGATAGATAGATAGATCGATCGATAGTTAGATCGATAGATCGATAGATCGAGGTAGATAGAGGTAGATAGAGATAGATAGAGATAGATAGAGATAGATAGAGATAGATAGAGATAGATAGATATAGATAGATATAGATAGATATAGATAGATATAGATAGATTTAGATAGATATAGATAGATAGATAGATCGGTAGTAGATAATCAAGATCGGTAGGTAGGTAGGTAGATAATCAGAGAAAGAGAGAAAAAGAGAGAGAAAGAGAGGAGACATCAACCACCTGTCGGTCCATCAGTGGCTTCGCTCTGCCATCCGTGATTCACAACAACCAACCTCTCCTATAGGTTTCCTATTTTTGAAACTTCCGCCACCGCCTTTACTGGTATATATTATTATATTATTGTATATATTGTATATTGTATATATATATATGATACATATCAATATTATTTTATTATTATTACTATTATTACTAATATTATTATTCATTATTATTATTAATTTCTATTATATATATAATATATTGTGTATATATATAATGTATACTACATATATATATATGATTATCTGAGTTATCTGTCTTCTTTAGTTTCCGATCTGGGAGCACGGCATTAATTTTCAGAAAACGCAGCTTGATGCCAGGTTTTTGGACCTTTCAGCGGAGAGAACAAGACACCAGTGATGTCGGGCTTTCAAAACGAGCGCAACGAGGGTATGGCGGATGCACCCATCGCAGACAGGTGATGAACGTGAGGATCAAGGAACAGGACCTAGCCCAACACGACAATCCAAGAAGTGGACCACGCTGTGGATAGTGTTTCCAGATGTTTCATGATGTTTACACATAAGGCTACCACCATATCCCCGCTGAGGATGCTGGGCAAGTCTGTGAAATTGTACACCTTATTGCGGACTGAAGCACTGAACCGCGAATCTGCCAGAAGCACTCTCTTTTTGCTGGAGGATCAAAGGTCTAAAGGACATCTTACATGTCAGACTGGTGACACAAAACCAGTAAGTTGCCAATAAAAATAGGAAGTATCCCATGTTCAATTGCACAGCAAGCCACGGAGTTGAAGCCTAGCCCAAAACGACCGATCTTCCTGACTTGGAAAAGTAACATGCGAATCCGACACGCAAGTTCAGGTGTGACAAGTATGCTAGCTTGACAGTTTTCTTCACGGCACTAAATCACGGCAGTAAGATCCGATTCTCATTCGTCCTCTGCTGTTCGCGCTTTCCACCCACACCGAGTCGACAAATGCTGTCAAAGTCTTTGGTGGTGAATTGCGCATTGTTGAAGATCCACAACGAAGGTCCTTGCCTTTGCAAGAGTTGTAGTGCACAAGCTCGGGACCTTTTTGGTACTCATGGAAGCAGATTCTCTGGGTTTGCGGCCATCTATCCATGTCTGGAGTGAGCAATGATTGCCTGAGCTCAAAACACTAAACTTGGACAGCTTTGGACAGCTTTGGACAGCACGTTAAGAATGATAAGAGACTATCAAGCTATCAAGAGACTTGCGATGGATCATCTTGGTGTCTCCGCTAAGGCTGCAACTTGCGATGCTGTCTCCAGTCCCACACGAAATGCACCTGTCAAACAACCAAACTGCAACCCTGCTTTGTTCAGCCATCATTTTGGAAGGTCTTCTGAGTCTCCTAGGTTCAACAACGGTACTGCCAGTGCTAACGAGGATGTGTGCAAAAATGGATGCGTGTCAAAAGAGCAACAGGTTTGTTTTTTTTTTGCGGGACGGAAACAAAATCTCCTTGGGACAACAGCACTTAAAACAGCCTGGATGTTGGATATCTTTGCCACATGGATATACAGTAATTCACCATAAGAATACAGTAGAATACAGGCAGCAAATTGATGAACACGGCTATGTCATGCTATGTCATGCTATGTCACACCTAAAAAAACAAAAACCCCTTTGTGTCATGGATTTTTCACCTCCGTGGCTCCAGCATCGTCGGCATTTTGCACCATCTCCTTGAACATGGAAATGTCTGCAGGATAGTCCTGTCCAAATCTCCAAGATTCTCCAAGGCAGCGGTGACGCTATGGATTGAATATGTTGGTTGACACTGGATAGACTGGATAGTCTGGATAGACTTACAGTAAGTAATCATATAAACAGTTACAAACATACAAAAACATACAACCATATTTAATGCTGTTTGTTCCAGGCCTTCAGCAAGTTCTTCAGCCGAGTTGTGATGGGCCTCAGGAGAAAAAGCATAGAAAGGGCATCAAAACCAGATTGAAAGATTTGAAGTTATGGAAATTGGCAAGAGACAGAGGACCTGACTCACTTTGCCCAGCAGCTTCACACCAATCCGCTCCATGCATCTCGGTCGCCTAAGCGATCAATGCATCTCGGACCGCTCACACCACTCCATTAAGTTTGTGCCGCGCCTCACGCGCATACACCAATGACAAACCACGGCCTTAGATCTGCCATGACCCTGCAGCTGAGTATTACAGTAAGACTGGTCTCTGACTCGGCAAGGGCTCTGCTCTCTGAGATCCTTGCAGCCACAAGTATGTGCCACAGCATGGGATATCTTGGGATGCACAAGGCCTGAGAAGACAAGGCAGCAAACCACTTTTTGACATCGTTTTCGTCCCATGTTCCTTCCCCCTGCGTTGCCTTCAACAAGTTGTGTCTAAAAACTGCAAAGGAATTTGGTCAACTCGAATACCATGAAAGATGCTTCCAATCTGTTAAATTTCTGTGGTTGAAAGACAGCACGGTTCAAAAAGTAGTCGCTGAGAAGAAAACAGTAGGTCCCCAAATTCAGGTCTGCTGTCTCCACGTCCGGCAACCTTGCGAAGAAAGCCGGCGGGTTGATTTCGCTGCTGTCCTGCTGTGGTTCACTTTCTCAAGATGACTTTTGGGAAACTGGCCAAGTCATGTTGTTGAAGACGCAGTCTCGAGCAGGGCGGAGAGTATTTTCCTTGCTCCGAATGCAACAGCACCAGCCAGGTCTGAACGAGTCCACACTGAGTTTTTGATGTTTTGGAAGCTGGGCCTGATCAATATATTATATCAATTATATCGCCGGACAAATGCTTAGAACCTGTGGAAATTTTCCAAAACGCTCGGGTATGAAAATTTATTCGCACTTAGCACCTCTTAGGTTCTAAGTGTGAGTTCGGAGGTTCTAAGTGTAAGTCCGGTTTTATTTTGGTGGGGTTCTAAGTGCAAAGTCCCCCAACCATTTGCCTCATCCCCTATCATTCCTATAACCAGGGTAAACATATATAACATAATATATTCAACATAATTATTATTCAAAACCTGCAAAAACCAATAATGCTTGGATAATGGTTATATAGACTGGTGATGGGAGGCTATCTATACGCTGATAAAATCTTCCCAGATTGAAGTGCCACCATGTTTCTTAGTAAGACGTTTATAGATCAGACTAGGTATGTTGCCTATGTGCCCAGGATGGCAGGGAACCAGGCAGTTTGGTGGGGACTTTCACACTTGGAACCTCCTAAATCACAGCCTACACTGGTAGAATTAAAATCTTCCCAGGTTGGTGTGCCAACATGTTTCTTCATAAGGGTCTTATACATCAGATTAGATGTTGCCTATGTGCACGGGATGGCGGGGAACCATGCAGAACCATGCAGAACCACGCAGATAGGTGGGGACTTTCGCACTTAGAACCTCCTAAATCACAACCTACACTGGTAGAATGAAAATCTTTCCAGGTTGATGTGCCAACATGTTTGTCAGAAAGGGTTTTCTGGATTGGACTAGGTATGTTGCCTATGTGCAGGGGATGGCATGGAAGCATGGAGATCGGTGGGGGGCTTTCGCACTTAAAAACTCCTAAATAACAACCTACACTGATAGAATCTTCCAAGATTGGAGTGCCAAAATGTTTCTTGATAAGGGTTTGATAGATCAGATAAGGTATGTTGCCTACGCGCACGGGATGGCAGGAAACAAGGCAGATAGGTGGGGACTTTCGCACTTAGAACCTCCTAAATCACAACCTACACTGGTAGAATGAAAATCTTTCCAGGTTGATGTGCCAACATGTTTGTCAGAAAGGGTTTTCTGGATTGGACTAGGTATGTTGCCTATGTGCACGGGATGGCATGGAACCATGCAGATCGGTGGGGGACTTTCGCACTTTAAAACTCCTAAATAACAACCTACACTGATAGAATCTTCCAAGATTGGAGTGCCAAAATGTTGCTTGATAAGGGTTTGATAGATCAGATAAGGTATGTTGCCTACGCGCACGGGATGGCAGAAAACAAGGCAGATAGGTGGGGACTTTCGCACTTAGAACCTCCTAAATCACAGCCTACACTGGAATCAAAATCTGGTTGGTGTGCCAACATGTTTCTTCATAAGGGTCTTATACATCAGATTAGATGTTGCCTATGTGCACGGGATGGCAGGGAACCATGCAGAACCATGCAGAACCACGCAGAACCATGCACAACCATGCACAACCATGCAGAACCATGCACAACCATGCAGAACCATGCAGATATGTGGGGACTTTCGCACTCAAAAAACTCTTAAATCACAACCTACACCTTGATAAGGGTTTTGTAGATCAGATTAGATGTTGCCTATGCGCACGGGATGACAGGGAACCATGCAGAACCATGCAGAACCACGCAGATAGGTGGGGACTTTCGCACTTAGAACCTCCGAAATCACAGCCTACTCTGGTAGAATTAAGATCTTCCCAGATTGGAGCGCCAACATGTTTCTTGGTAAGGAAAATAGATCAGATGAGATATGTTGCCTGTGTGCACGGGATGGCAGGAAACAAGGCAGATAGGTGGGGACTTTCGCACTTAGAACCTCCTGAATCACAACTTACAGTGATAGAATCTTCCCAGATTGGAGTGCCAACATGTTTCTTGATCAGGGTTTGATAGACCAGATTAGGTATGTTGCCTATGTGCACGGGATGGCAGGGAACCAGGCAGATAGGTGGGGGACTTTCGCACTTAGAACCTCCTAAATCACAGCCTATTCTGGTAGAATTTAAGATCTTCCCAGGTTGGTGTGCCAACATGTTTCTTCATAAGGGTCTTATACATCAGATTAGATGTTGCCTATGTGCACGGGATGGCAGGGAACCATGCAGAACCATGCAGAACCACGCAGATAGGTGGGGACTTTCGCACTTAGAACCTCCTAAATCACAACCTACACTGGTAGAATGAAAATCTTTCCAGGTTGATGTGCCAACATGTTTGTCAGAAAGGGTTTTCTGGATTGGACTAGGTATGTTGCCTATGTGCACGGGATGGCATGGAACCATGCAGATCGGTGGGGGACTTTCGCACTTAAAAACTCCTAAATAACAACCTACACTGATAGAATCTTCCAAGATTGGAGTGCCAAAATGTTTCTTGATAAGGGTTTGATAGATCAGATAAGGTATGTTGCCTACGCGCACGGGATGGCAGGAAACAAGGCAGATAGGTGGGGACTTTCGCACTTAGAACCTCCTAAATCACAACCTACACTGGTAGAATGAAAATCTTTCCAGGTTGATGTGCCAACATGTTTGTCAGAAAGGGTTTTCTGGATTGGACTAGGTATGTTGCCTATGTGCAGGGGATGGCATGGAACCATGCAGATCGGTGGGGGGCTTTCGCACTTAAAAACTCCTAAATAACAACCTACACTGATAGAATCTTCCAAGATTGGAGTGCCAAAATGTTTCTTGATAAGGGTTTGATAGATCAGATAAGGTATGTTGCCTACGTGCATGGGATGGCAGGAAACAAGGCAGATAGGTGGGGACTTTCGCACTTAGAACCTCCTAAATCACAGCCTGCACTGGAATCAAAATCTGGTTGGTGTGCCAACATGTTTCTTGATAAGGTTTTTATAGATCAGATTAGATGTTGCCTATGCGCACGGGATGGCAGGGAACCATGCAGAACCATGCAGAACCATGCAGAACCATGCACAACCATGCAGAACCATCCAGATATGTGGGGACTTTCGCACTCAAAAAACTCTTAAATCACAACCTACACCTTGATAAGGGTTTTGTAGATCAGATTAGATGTTGCCTATGCGCACGGGATGACAGGGAACCATGCAGAACCATGCAGAACCACGCAGATATGTGGGGACTTTCGCACTTAGAACCTCCGAAATCACAGCCTACTCTGGTAGAATTAAGATCTTCCCAGATTGGAGTGCCAACATGTTTCTTGATCAGGGTTTGATAGACCAGATTAGGTATGTTGCCTATGTGCACGGGATGGCAGGGAACCAGGCAGATAGGTGGGGGACTTTCGCACTTAGAACCTCCTAAATCACAGCCTTTCTGGTAGAATTTAAGATCTTCCCAGATTGTGTTTGGAGCGCCAACATGATTCTCAGTAAGGGTTATGTAGATTAGATTAGATGTTGCCAATGTGCACGGGATGCAAAGGAACCAGGCAGATAGGTGGGGACTTTCCCACTTAGAAGCTCCTAAATCACAACCTACTCTTGGTAGAATTAAGATCTTCCCAGATTGGAGCGCCAACATGTTTCTTGGTAAGGATTATAGATCAGATTAGGTATGTTGCCTATGTGCCCAGGCTGGCAGGGAACCAGGCAGTTTGGTGGGGACTTTCGCACTTAGAACCTCCTAAATCACAGCCTACACTGGTAGAATTAACATCTTCCCAGGTTGGTGTGCCAACATGTTTCTTCATAAGGGTCTTATACATCAGATTAGATGTTGCCTATGTGCACGGGATGGCAGGGAACCATGCAGAACCATGCAGAACCACGCAGATAGGTGGGGACTTTCGCACTTAGAACCTCCTAAATCACAACCTACACTGGTAGAATGAAAATCTTTCCAGGTTGATGTGCCAACATGTTTGTCAGAAAGGGTTTTCTGGATTGGACTAGGTATGTTGCCTATGTGCAGGGGATGGCATGGAACCATGCAGATCGGTGGGGGACTTTCGCACTTAAAAACTCCTAAATAACAACCTACACTGATAGAATCTTCCAAGATTGGAGTGCCAAAATGTTTCTTGATAAGGGTTTGATAGATCAGATAAGGTATGTTGCCTACGCGCACGGGATGGCAGAAAACAAGGCAGATAGGTGGGGACTTTTGCACTTAGAACCTCCTAAATCACAGCCTACACTGGAATCAAAATCTGGTTGGTGTGCCAACATGTTTCTTCATAAGGGTCTTATACATCAGATTAGATGTTGCCTATGCGCACGGGATGGCAGGGAACCAGGCAGAACCATGCAGAACCACGCAGAACCATGCACAACCATGCACAACCATGCAGAACCATGCACAACCATGCAGAACCATGCAGATATGTGGGGACTTTCGCACTCAAAAAACTCTTAAATCACAACCTACACCTTGATAAGGGTTTTGTAGATCAGATTAGATGTTGCCTATGCGCACGGGATGACAGGGAACCATGCAGAACCATGCAGAACCGCGCAGATAGGTGGGGACTTTCGCACTTAGAACCTCCTAAATCACAGCCTACTCTGGTAGAATTAAGATCTTCCCAGATTGGAGCGCCAACATGTTTCTTGGTAAGGATTAAAGATCAGATTAGATATGTTGCCGGTTTGCACGGGATGGCAGGGAACCATGCAGATAGGTGGGGACTTTCGCACTTAGAACCTCCTGAATCACAACTTACACTGATAGAATCTTCCCAGATTGGAGTGCCAACATGTGTCTTGATAAGGGTTTGATAGACCAGATTAGGTATGTCTTATCCTTAACCATCATTCCCCGAACTTTTTGAGCCAAACGGTCAGATTCACCAGGCATATATATCTATACATAAGGTTTCAACCTGACATTCAGGAGCTATAGAACCGTTGGCACCACTATATATATATACATATATATTGCTCATAAGGATATGTCATATAGATATTCTACCATCACTAGTATATATATATATAGCTATGGAAAATCTAATTTTTAGTGGGTAAATCAACTATAAATGGTCATGTTCAATAGCTATCAAAATAAACAGGTTTGTGCTCCGATCTCAAAGGATAGTGGTCAAAGCTTGAGTTCATATATTGTCAAAATATGTAGACGTTATATAACTGATCTTGATATTATTTAAAATCATGATGATTTTCAGAGGTTCTAAGTGCGAACCTCCCCAACTATCTACATGGTTATAAACATATGTAGATGTTAACTCATATCATTAAAGATACTCATGATTGTGAGAGGTTCTAAGTGCGAGTCTCCCCAACTATCTACATGGTTATAAACATATGTAGATGTTAATTCATATCATTAAAGATACTCATGACATAGGCAGAGGTTCTAAGTGCAAGGTTTTTTGGGTTCTAAGTGCGATTTGCTCGTGAGTCGATTTTTTTTGGAAATTTTCCAAAATTGGTTCTAAGCATTTGTCCGGCGATATATATTTTACATTTTTTAATATCTAACCTTATATCATTTCTAGTATTATATTGTATCATATAATATCATTTATATACCATTGTTAATCGTGATATATAGAAATACAATAGCAAATGCCATAGGCCAACCAAAACAACTAAGACCTGTTCCGAAGTGGGCATCAGAATGTTCAGTTTGCTTCCAGCAGCTGCAGCAGCTCCAGAATTTTCTGCTCGCTCCTTTCCCACAAAGATGAGAGGGAGTGAAAAGCATGCCAAGCATGGCAAACCAGTCAAAGAGACCAAAACAGGAGTCAAAATAATCAAATAATAACATAGAAATACATAGAATTAACACAATACAATCAAGACATTGCCCAGGCCATATGGCCATGTCCTGTTGTAGATTGTCGGTGATTGCCATAACCAGGCGAACTGCTATGTCCAAAGATGGTGCATCAAGTTGTGGACCTTGGTACCAAACTGACAAGTTGAGATGATCCAACATGAAGCTGTCACGGCTGTCACGGCTGTCACGCAACAACATCTACTGTGTTTAGGATGACTGATTTCAAGTCTTTGTGGCCCTCGCTGTTTTCTGCCTTTAAGATGCATTGAAGAGCCTACCACAACAAGTGGATGGAAAGATTGGCAAGTAAAACCATTACAATCATTACAGTTATCTCAGAAGTCTGGAGCTGCCTCGGAGTAGTCTGCCACTCCAAAGTTGTCTTTGATGTTTGACCATAGAAGAGGATTTTTCTCCTTCCACTCTGCGGGGGCCTCAAGCAGTTGAGTGAATTAGGACTAGCACACTACATGGTTGAAAAGCATTGAAAAGCATTGAACAAATTGAATGACGAAGGAGGAACCATAGCAAAGGGTAAAGGGAAACGAAAAGTGAATAAAGGCCATGAAGAGACAGGGAACTGGGTCGAGGCCCTGGCCTTGACCAAATACGGTGGGAATTCGATGCTTTGTCGAGACATCCTTGACAATGGCAAAAAGCCACCCTGTGACACCTCAGGTTCAAGCAAAATGATGCAAAAAATGTGCATCAATCATCATCAATCTGAGCTTTCATCACATGGGCATCGACAAAGCTGTGGATCGGGCCCAAAGGCGCTTGGTCTTATCGCTGACAAACTCCTATCTTGCCCGTGCACAAATGTCATGTCATGGGTGTGTTGCATATGCGTGCATGCAGTAGAGCCTGAATGGAAGCAGAGTGCACAAGCATGGGATACAAGTGGTCATATAGGCAGCGAGTAATCCATGAAGCATGCACCTTAGGCCAGCCAGGCTCAGGGAGCATTATGGTGCTTGCAGATCTACCTCTCCTCACTATCTTCAATTTTGATAATTTTGCAAAACTAAAGCTTGGATAAGCTTGGAATGATCTACTCTCAAGGCCTTTCTCTAAGTCATCTGCTTCGCGTTTTGCAGCTGGAAGGCTCATAGTCCATTCCTTGCTTCGCAAGCAAGGTCAAACAAGCATACGTATGTCCACCCCAAAAAGAAACGATTGAGAAGCGCTTTGACGCGCTCCTCCATCTTGCAAAGCTGCTCTTTCAGCAAGCCTTCCTGCGGCTTTTCTTGCAGGCCAATGCTCTCCTGTGGAGAGAGAGAGAGAGAGATGGAGCGAGGATCCCACTCTCTTCCCAAGCAAAGGCAAAGAAATCCCTGAGGCACAGGCCAGAAAGCGTCTTGGAAGGCGAACTGTATTTCCTGGAAGCCAGACCGTGGGACCCATTCAGGATCTAGTCAGTGCTGCACTATGCAGACTATGCAGATTTGCTTCGTTCTCAAACAGTTCCTGCTCCCCGCACAGGTAGACCAATCAGAGGCCTTACCTTGGCCGATGCAGACATATGCTGCGCGCGATGCAACATTGTTCGAGGCATCTTCTATAATACACACATGACAGAGGACACAAACCTTGGTGGTCTGCATTGTTGCCGGAAATTGAGATTCACACCATGCCCACTAGGAACTCCTCCGACACCAATCTGACCTGATTGTGTACAAAAGTAGACCAGCAATCCCAAACCTTTACTTCAACATGCACATGCTGCACATGTGCCTCCTCTGCTGAACAAAGTCCACAAAGAGAGCCCTTCCACGGAGCTTCTGCAGGCCAACCACTGGGAGCGCTCAAAGGTGGCAGCCAAAAGCAGCGTCGAAGTTTCGATTGGATGGACATCAATTCTTCTTCTGCCAAATTCGAAGTTTTTGCTTCTGACTTTGGCTTTTCCATTCCGATCCCAGTCAGGCTTAGCATCCCCCATAGACTTCTAGAATCGAAATCTTGCTTCTCTTCCTGGTCAGATTGCAATGAATCGACCATTAGGGGGCTGACCACCTCGCAGACATAGCGAAGCAGGGCATTTGAGACTGTCAGCACGTCTCCTGGAATTTGACTTTCTTGCTGTGGATTTGACTCCCGCCGTTGCACTTCCAGGTGATGCAAAAAGCCCAGCCTCTCATTCAATTCCTGGTAGTTCAGGTGACTTCGAAATTGCAAAACAGCGCGACACTCTGCTGACTGCCACCGCGAATCGGGAAAAGGACCTCTGATATCACCAGGACCGTAAAGGGCAGGCAGCCTTTCAATCGCAGGGTCTAAGGCTTCTGCAGCCGACAACATACCACCTCCGACAGTGCTGAGGAATGGAATCTGCTGTAACGCCTCCAAACAAGCAGAATGGCCTGTCAATTCCATGTCGCGCCAGTGGTAAACAATGGCCCTCATCAAGCTTTGGCGTACTTCTCCAGAGGATGTGTGGGCCCACGGAAAAACGTGTTTGAGAAGAAGATCAGACCACTGAAACTTTGGAAGACCTAGGTGTTCGCGAAGCAATGATGACACAGCCCACGTCTCAGATGTCACAGTTTCAAGCACTTCATCTGCGACTTCTACGGTCGGTAAATCAACCTGTGCTGCACGGAGTGCTCCCAAAACCTCTGGACAGGTCTCCGGCAAAATCCAGAACTCCTCAGCATTCTCGGTGCCAGCTAGAGAGATATGCTGCTGGGGCTTGTTGAATCTGCACAAGAAAGGCAAACCACGGAGCACCTCACAGTGACTTTTCCAGCTTGCTCTGCTGTTCACTTTTTCACAACTACAGCCCTCTTTTTGAACTGTGGCCGCAATCGACAACAAGGCTCCCACATCATGCGGATTGAGAGCTTTGGAAAGTGACACGTGGAGTGCTTGTGCCGGTGTGATTGGACTTTTTTGACAGGACGAGATCAGCTTGGAAGCAAAGTGCATGCTTTTCAAGAGACCTTCTGCGGTGGACGCATGCACGCAGGTCCGAAGCTGGTTTTCATGTTGCAAGAGCCAACTTGGCTCAAAAATGGGCCTGCAATGAAGATGGGCTTCAAGGAGCTTCTGGACGCGTAGAAATTTCTCTTTGCCTTGACCCATACCACTGGATCCACTAGATCCATTGGCAGGGTTCTTCACGGGCTCGTTGCGGTTTGTCCCTGGCCTTGATGGGGGTGGTGGTGGATGTGGTGGACGTGATGCAGGATGCGGAGGCTGCGGTGGCTGCGGTGGCTGCGGTGGCTGCACTGCGGGTGGTGGATACCCAGATGCAGGCGGAGGCGTTGGAACCGAAGCTTCCTGAGCTCGCCTACCAGAAAACAAGACCAGTTTGTTTGCTTCAGGAATTCGAACCAAATCTACTCCTGCATCAGACAAGCTGGGGATCAAGGGCCAATGAACCATGTGAAAAAGGTGAACTTCTTTGTCACCAAGCCATTTCCACATAGCCTGCAGCCAGTCTTCAACCCACTCAGCATAGTCATTCATCGAGATGCTTGGCACTGGCTTGTTCCATGTCCGCGGCAGCAACATTTGCAGTGCTCTGACAAGCCGCGGAAAAGTTACGTATTTGCATTGAAAGGCAGGGATTGCAGGGCTAGCTTTTCCAGCTTTGACCCGAGACTCCTTTTCGTTCTCGGTCTCCGCCTCTGCTTGCTCCGCTTGCTCCGCTTGCTCTGCCAACTTCTTGAACTTTGCCCAAAGCATTGGCCGGGCTTCGAATTTTGATGCCAGTAGGAGTTTCTTTCCGTCTTTATTCGGAAAGAGTCGCCTTTCCAGCGGATTTTGAGGGAAGAATACAGGCTGCAGCGGCTGGGCAGACTGAGAAAAGGACAAGAATGGCTGCACGGTTGCTTCATCCTCGCACATGAGGAGGGGAACTCCACTCAAATCATCAATGTTGCCGTCACTGACGGCGAATTCAAGGAGATCAGTAACATCCACTGGGGTCAGCTGGGCAAAGATATTGGCTGCAGGTGCTTGGTTGATTGCATGAGATTTCATGCCACCTTCTGATCGCAAGCGTTGTCGAAGCCAGGAAGGCGTCAGAAGCGTGAAATTTGCTCTGCGATTTTTGCCCCTGCCGCCTTCTTCTTTGCCTTGACCGCCTTGACCAGACCGCATCAACGACTCCAACACACTGGGAGGAGCATCTACCAATGGGACTCCACACCGAAGCAAGCACTCCACGACAGAGTCTAGCAGTGCCTGTGTCACGTGTTCTCGTACCGAAGGTACCGAAGGAACAAAAACAGCCTCAGCGATCTTGACCCAATACTGTGGCGGAGCTTCAGATCGGCTCCGATTCCGCAGAGAAGCAGGTGCAGCAATCGGCAGTGGACAAGCTCCTCCTGCTGCTCCTTGCGAAAGAAGTTTGGCATAAAAAGTTTGTGCAATTCTTTGCGACGGTGCAAGACTTCCCTGGCTTAGAGTTGGAAAGAGTGCAAAGAAATGTGCGGGAGGCATTTGATTTCGCTTGACCGCCAAATCCTGCAGGCATGCCATAAGTGCTGACCTTAGCCGAAGAAACCAGGAAGCAATTCATGAATGTCATTGTCAATGCTGCATCATATCAGTTTCAGTATTGATCTCAAGTACTTAGAACATCTTAGAACTAAGGATCGTACGGAATCAAATCATCCAGCAAATAGAAGTTGTGCCGCACGAGCTCTTGTTCAGATTCACCAATTCGGTTGTCCAGTAGCACACTACGCCTGTCTTGTGCCATGTTCAAGGGGGCGTGCACATGCAGTCGGAGCCCTAAGTCTACATTCCTCGGAACTGGAAGAAAACAGAAGACTCGGCCGTCTTCGTCATGACACCAGACATCGGCCGCGTCTTGCTCTTGCATGAGTGGCACCGCCAAACACACACGTGAGCGAAAGCCGTGCTGAGTATCGGTGAATAGATGATATTTCCTCAGCATTTGTTTCTCATCACTGCACAGGACCTCCAGCTGCGTAGACACAGCAGTACCGCGGCCAGAACTTCCACAAGTCACAATGCTGGGTCGTTTCGTTAGTCCGGCTCGTGCCAAAGAGACAGAGAAAACTGTTTGAAGAACAGGTTCTGATCCATCTGCGGCCAGTCGAGACATCGAAATCTCTTGTACGTTTTGTAGGAAAAGAAGCCACTGGAAGGCTTCTGCTTGGAACTGTTGAGACAACGCTGCAACCATTTCATCGGACACCACGATCTTGCTAATCTCACTCTTTGCTGCAGACTCCTTGGTCCGAAATGGAATGCGGATCAGTGTTCCTTTGAAAGGACTCGATGATTCCTGACAGGTTCGGTGAGGGCCGTGGTATGAGGAAAAGGCAACTGCACTACTGATCAAGGACTCGTGAGCGGGGTTTGAACAAGGGGATAAAAATGGATAAAGAGCATTTAGAACCTCCACCTTACAGACTCCGGTGGAAGCATGAGTGCTGGCTAATTTTTAAGGGCAAATTTTAATATATTAATATTATATAATTATTAAATGAAATTGAAAAGTAAAAGCTGTGCAAGCTGCTAATTGCGTGCAAAAATCCAGGTCACAGCCCAACAATTTGTGGTAGGGCATAAATTGATCTCGAAAGCGGTCTATAATGCTGACCTTGAGAAAGCGAAGTTTGATCCCGGGCTTCTGCGTGGATGCTCCCATCTTGCGCAAATGAGAAACATGGGGATCGAGGAAAAGAATCATAGAATCACTAAGAATGCTTGGAAGGTCTGTCAGGTTGTAAACTGAGTTGAAGCCAAGACCAAAGCGCCCAATACGCTCAGAACTGCTCCTCTTGCCTCCGACACCAAGTCTGCAAATTGCCTCGAAGTCTTGCTCAGTGAAAAGCGCATCATTGTACGCCCACAAGCAATTCGTTTGCCAAGTTGCCATTTCTGGGGAAAGGAGACTCCCTCTGCCCAGCTTGCGGTTATCCCAAACAAAGTGCACACGAGCTGCGCCAGCGTCATCTGCATTCTGTACCATTTCCTTAAAAAGACCAACATCAGCTGGATAGTCCTTCAGGAGATTCTTCAGCCGGGTGGTCAATGGTTCGGACTGGCCAGCGGCTTCACACCAGTCATGCTGGTCCCTGTCCTGAAGCTGTCGAACAAGGCTCGACAAGCTTTCGTTGTCCAGTTGCTGGCCCTGGGCTGCAAATTGGGCCTGCAACTGCTCAAGAAGTTTTTGGGTCTCGTCTGCTGTCTGCATGACGATCTAGAGCTGACTTTGAGCTAACAAGCTCGACAAGCTTCAACAGGCTTGACAAGCTCCAAGAGTCTATTGAACAGCACCGTCAACTGCAGTTGACAAGCATTGTGGCAATCGATCGCGGACCTTGTCGCCGAATTTGTTTGTGATGTTGATGTCCTAATCCCCTAATATTGCGGTAGTGTATATAGTGTGGATATGCGTTGCTTCAAAACAAAGTGCGAAGGAATGCGCAAATTTGGTCACAGGAACTCTTGTGATTGACGTATCTCTCTTTGTGGGAGTGTGTCTGCGTAGTTTGATTAGCCTGATGCACCTTCAGTCTGCAAAATGATTATATAAGATTATATATAATATATATATAAGCATCAGACAAAATTGGATGCATTGATGTCAGCTTGATTTTGCGCATAATTCATATTTCTTTTTGGAGCCGTAGACAGTGGCGTCCTGGTGAGGAAAGTTCCGGTTTGTATACACAGTCATGTCATTAAAATCTACAGTTGGCATTCAATGCAGTGAGAATGCATGAGCTTCTTGCAAAGGCAAATCTGGCAGATCTAGAATGCTCTTCTTTTCTTTGGCGCAGCCTATAAAGCCACAATAAAGAGTTCCACTTGTCACTTGTCCTGCCAAATCGCAGCAAACAGCTTATCTTTCATCGCATGAACCGCATGGATAAAGGGACAGCACTGATAGTAGTCTTCGACTTGGATGGGGAGTAGTCATGAAGCCTTTGGCGATAGTAGTCTTGGAACTTCAATTTGAAAGCTGTGGTTGCAGGGAAAAGAGTATTTCTTATGATTCCTGCCTTTCTTTGAAATTTGTTCTTCCTTCACCTGAGGCCTTTTGTAAAAATATTCAAGTTCTCTTCCTGCCAAAAAATCTACAAAAGTCCATAAAGTGTCCTCAGTTGACCCAAGAATTCTGCAAGAGACCTGTGGCCTATGCCCTACACAACTCACGGCCCCAACCTCGATGCTGAAGTATCGGGCTTTCTCGTCATCGCAGCCCGTTATCAGGGTCCTCTTTGATGTTGAAACATGTTCCCTCCAAACCCCACGTTTGCCCACACCCAAATAACACACCCAAACAATATCATATACTTGTCACCAGAGGATGAATGAAAACACTGGCTATACGCAGCGATTTTGACTTTAGGTTTTTAATGGTTTTTAGGATTTAGGGTTTTAATTTAGGGTTTCGGCTTTTAGGTTTTTCGGATTCCAGGGATTCAGGGTTTTAGGCTTTGGAAAGTGAAAAACGCTAGACCTACGTAGGGATTTGAGCATGTCAAAGGATATGCGGGATCCGATGCGGGCAAACGTGGGGTTTGCAGCGAACATGTTGAAACTAGGTCAAAATGAGTAATTAGTGATGACATCTCAAGTCAAGTAAATTCCGAGTAGATGAGTAGATGACTGTCTTTAAATCCACTGATTATCACTCAAGCAGTGCTGTCCACGCCTGTCCACGGGTGAAGTCTCCAGGGCATAGATTGGGACGGTGTGCATCCCCATTTTCATGAACACAGGTGAACCTGACATTTTTGTGTGGAGTTAGTGTGCAGTTGGTCAAGAGATGAAAATTATATGCACTAGTATAATATGACATATTACATAAGTCAAGTGATGTTCTACGATATATTACTACAAGGCTGTCGCAAGCGAACACCGTAGGGAAAAATGCCTGTCGTCGAGTCAAAGAGACTCACATCGCTGAGTCTCACGTTGCTGTTTGCCGCTGCAATATACCTGTCTCAAGCATTCACAGGCCTCCCCCTTTCTGGCTGTGAATTGTTCATCAGGAATCACTTCTCAAAATTCTGTGTACAATACGTTGCCAACTCAGCAGGTTGGGATCGCCTTTCACCATTGACGAAAGTGGCTGTGCTGAAGTCGGCAGATCTTGGCCCAAAGCCCATGCAGAAAACCTGGCTGGACTTCAGTAGGAGCAAATCTTGCTGCGTGAACTGGTGCATTGGTGCAATATCTTGTGACTCGTCTAGGAATGGAGCAAGTAAAAACCGAGGCCATAGCTTCTTTGCCCATTCGAACATCCCATAGTCGGTGCCTGAAGACTTCAGAAAGACATGGATGCGAAATGATTGGATAAACTTACAGCTTGTACATGCCGTTTGCCTTAGACTATATGCCGCTTCAACAGGACTGTGTGAAGTAGATGGTTGAATGGCAAGAAGCCAGAATGTCATTCTTTCAGACTCCAAAAGATCAGAATGACGGGATGAACCATACTACAGCCTTCCATCGTTTCCTGAAGATAGCAGGTAGCGGAGGCTTCGACCTTGGCAGATTTGGCAGATGCCAAGAAACAAAGAGACTCTTGCTTCAATAGCAACACAAATTATCTAGCATGTATTTTTTGTTCTTCTTTGTGTCGTGGATGCATCACTTCTTTCAGATCCTCGCTCCATCGAACAGATGTGACAGAAGATCCACTGTGAGCCTCCGAGCATCTGAAAACTTTGCAATTGAACAAACACAAGGGTAATGACTGTCAAACCTATCTGACTGTCAATGTCAAGGGTACTGTCAAGGGTACACTGCTCTTATCTGCAGGGCCTGTGGCAAAGCATTGACCACGCTATTGGTGACGGCATCCCAAAGCTTGATGGAGCCATCCTCAGAGCTGCTTTCAGACATGATCATCCTAATAAATCTGAATTAGTAACGTTGTAATAACACATAATAACTACACTCTATTCTCAACTGCAACTGTTTGCATAGAGTGCTGGCTGAGGCAGTGTCGGCCGAAGCACTGGCCAGAATTTTCCCGTCACTTGTGCATCGCAGGTCGTTGATTCCTGCAAGGGGAGTTGCCAATGCCGTTTGCGATCGAAAACGATAAGAATAAAAACAAATTCAAAACTGGTTCAACCTTGCTCAGCGGCTCAGCGTACAAAGAAATTACAGCAGAGTGGTCTTCCAGAATAGGGTTGACAGAGTTGAGTCATGCATCGTCTGATGCAAGTCTTGCCAGGAAAAAAAAAAGACAGGATTTGGACAAGGCTTGACCACTTTGCCTGCTGTATGGTGCTGGTCTTGATGCGAGGTTGTAAAGCAACTCAAGGTCTGCAGATCGTACATCCGAAGAGCCTGACACGCAGTAACGTGGGAAAGCCATTCAAAACCAAAGAAAGTGCTGGTGTCATTTATGAAAATTCGTCTTTGAGGAGTTGCCTGGTGGGTTGTGCCCACAAAGAGGAAATCACCACAGGGATGGATGCCTGAAGACTGCCACAAACTGAGTACACTACTCCGGGGAACGGGTTGGCGCAGCAAAGAGAGAATGACTCAAAGAGGAATCCAGGAAAAAAATGGAAAAACATCAATACGCGTGAGACCGACGAAAGCAAACATAAACAGAAAAGAGAGCGACAGAGATCTTGAAAAGCTACAATAGGCTACATTCAAAACTGGAGCAATCGTAGCCGCTACTACCATCTACTACCGACTGTAGCTGTAGCTATGGCTGCGTGGAGACACCTTGGCTCTGGAAAACGTCGGTATACGTGTGGAGAGCTACTTTATAACAGGCAGCAGCATGAAGTCTGAAGACAAGTCTAGCATGACTCAAAATGTTTTGAAGGCACTTGTTCGACCCGTTTGGCATTGAAAGCGGGCTCAGAATGGCTGCGTCCCTCGAAATTATCCTCAACACATTAGCCGAGTATGGTCCATAAGTAATAGCCTCCATAAGTCATAGCTTTTGGACTTGATTGTCCAGTGATTGATCTAGGAGTCTAGGGCTCCAAATTGGTTTGCGTGGGAAAGCGGCGCAAATGCATGTGAGCACTTCAAATTTGGATCGAGCTGGAAGCGCGAGTTGAAGGATCCATGTGATCCAAGAGTCAGCCGCTCTGGGATTAGCACATATGCTTTTCACAGCATATACATCTTGTAGCACGGAGAAAGCCTGCACAAACGGTTGCATGGTTTTTCCCGAGGATCAACTAGGACCTAGGAACTTTTATCTGGAACAGATTTGCTTTGCCTCATCCGATGCATGTGCCTTTCAAACCTCCAAGTCTTCAAGCAACCAGGAGTCAGAATGCTGCCAAAAAACCCTGCCTTTTTGTGGCCTGGTGGTCTAGTAAGGTCAAAGATTTTGACGGCCTCGCGTTTTCTGGGGGCTGACCAGCAAAACAGCAAGGCTGTGAAAGACGGAGAATTTGGCCTTGTCCGAAGAACCCGAAAATAGCGTGGGATTTGTCGGATGAAAGGCCAGGCATGTGACACCTTGGATGTGATCCTGTGGCAAGCTGCATGCTTCCGCACGGCACGCAAGTCTTTTGAAAAGGCTCTCCATGGTTCCCAAGCTTCAAGTTTGTCCAGCAACCAACCTGGATTTGTCGATTTAGTTCTCTGCTCTTGTTGTTTGCCCGTGCATCGGCTTTCAAAATCCTGTCCTGGAGGACACGCACAATCGGCTTCATCAGCTCCTGCAAAGGAATCTCTCTCTCTCTCTCTCTCCTGTCTGATCCCCCAAAAAATCACCGAGATGGGTTCGATGGGTTCTAAATGTCTAGTTTTCACAATTGCATCCTAGGATCAGCCTCTTGGGAACATCCAACTCCGACTGCACTCTCCACCGGTGAGGGTCAAACTCGGACCCCTTTCGAGAGTCCGGCTCTCAGTGACAAACACTTGCCGAAGTTCAAATTATCAAGCCATATGCAGTCCAGTCCACGCTTAGATTTCTTAATGAATATACATACATATATATATATATTATAATATGTATATTATATATATTATATATATATTATAATATATATATACACTATATATTATTTGTATACATAAGGGTTTCACAGTTTTACGTTTTTGGGGTCCCTTGACAATTAAGACAGGCTTCTACAATACTTTGATATACATTGTGCCAGGGTACATGTTTATTGCAAAGGGGCAGGATGCAATGCTGCTAGCATCTCATTCTTTTCACACCACTCCTTTGTAGCACATTGTACCGGGTGAGTGCTTTGTGCCCCTCACTTCATTGATGTCTCCTGAAATTACTCCGAGAATTGCTAGGAGTCCCCTTACACAGTTCACTTATCATTTCTTGTCTTGGGCTCGCTCTGGTTCTGAAATCCAGGGTCTTTTCAGTGTTCTCAGCCTTTTGGACTCCTTATGGTCACCTTATGGTCACGTTACGGTCTTTTTGCGGCACAGGTGACCGCTTATGATTCAAATATGTCCGATGTCCGCCGTTCGGCAGTTCTGCTCTCCCTTCGCAGCTCGGGCACCTCTTCAGTCACACGCATGCGACCAACAGGTCCCTCTGTGCTTGCAGCACACACTCGCATCTTGGCCTGGACAAAGCAACCAGAAATCACCAGAAAACAAGGGAAAATGCAGTATGAAAAGCTCAAGGGAACTCATAACGTGCGAAAGTACGAAATACAACGGAAATCGCGGCTACAGCACAGTCATGGAAATTATGCGGCAATTTCGGCATCAGGCTGTATCCAGGATTTTGATGCTTCCATCTGTGCATCCAGTCGCACCTCAGCAACGAAGTGCAACACTGTTGCTTCCCAGAAAACATTCTCAGCCCTTCTTACTTTCCTTGCAAAAACACGTGAAAACAAATTTAAGCCACGGGCAAAATCTTCCGTCGGTGGAAAAGGCCACAGAGCGGCAGTGAGACTTATGAGATGCTGTGTACAGGAGCCTTCACTCACCAGAAACTGTGTGCCGTGCTTCGTTTGTTGTTGGAGATTGCATGAGTTTGCAAGAAAGTCAGCAGGTGCATAGCGCAGTGTGCCTGACTTCAGGAGGTTTTTTGGTGGGATCTGGAGTCTGAGAAGTGCCTGACAACCAGGCCAGCTGCCATATCTAGGACTCATTGCAGAGTCGCTAGGCGCGCCTGTTGGAATTGCCATACCCTCCAAGTCCAGCACCTTTTCCTGTGCGCCAAGAGGTGGTACCTGGCCAGATTTCTCATCACAAGCGAGCAGCTTTTGGCAACAGTGTCTTCGGATTTGGACCTTCTTGAAAGATCTTTAAAGGGCAGGTGGCCAGGTCGTGGTTTTTGGCAATCAGGGCAATTATGGGGCACAGGTGCGCAGTGGAGAGGTTGCCACTCCGGCTGTGGCTCATCACCAAAAGCCCACTTGAGACCTAAATCCAGGAGATTGCCGACATTGCACTTCTTTGTTAGCTTCCATGCACCATCGGAAAGTCAGGCAATAAGTGCATGCTCTGAGGGCCAGCTTTTGGTGTAAATATCCAACAAAGCATCCTGTCTTGTTGGGTGCAATCCAATCAACTATTGGGATGCGGCGGCAACGCATTCAAGTTTCTTCTGGTTCTTGATGTCGTGCACTTGTGTCTTGACACGTTCCCCGGCCCCTGGCATCGTATCTGCCTTCTCAACTTTGGTGTTGGCACGTAGGTGCAACTGCGCTGTCAGGGCTTGGACCTAGCATGGAAACACTCGCAGTATGTTGAGGACCGTGAGAGTGTCCCAGTCACTGATGTCACTAAATTCACTAAAAAGTGTTTTCATGTTCAAAGATGTTCAAAGTTCAAGAAGATGCTTCGGGCCAATCCAGCCTCTGCCTCGAAGCCGTCATCCTTCAAGGTCAGAAATCAGGAATATTTTTTTCGGCAAGGCTTGACGTTCTTGTAAAAAAAATGTCTGCCAACAATTAAATCATGTTCATGCGGACAAAGGTGTGCAGGGGCACAATAGAAAGCAAAATGCTAAAGAATCTTAGCACATCTTAGCACTTATTGGAAAACTCGTGCTGGTTCTAACATGGACGCCCAACGGTTGCCCAATATTGACACCACGCCACGCTAGCCTTGAACCCCTCAGAAGTAAACACCACATTGGTCATATATGAATCATATATGGCCGTGTTTCAAGATGTTTCAGGATGTTTCAGTTTCAGGTTGAATTTGCCGACATCGGTATGCGGCTGCACAGTTGTCCCCGAAAGCTAGGAAGATTATTCGATGTAAAGACTTACAATCACCTATATGCTTAGAATATAAAAACTTGCTTGCAATACAAGGACGTGCTTACAATAGTTGTGGAGACTATATAGAAGTATCTTGCGATTTTGGACTTGTTTGAATTTTCTTCCACACAAATGCTTGGTGTCAGTCGCCATACAAATACTGATTGCATTCTCTAAGAGTGCTGTAAAACAATCCTGCGAATCTGCACCTGCAACTGCCGCAACAGCAACTCATACATGGCCACTTTGTGGGCCGGAAAGTGACCTCGGTGGATCATTTGATCCGTGAATGTGGTCCCCAGTGGCCCAGTGCAGAGAGGAGAACGAGTGCAGAGTGCTTAGACTTGGTCAAATGAGTTACAAGTTGGGGCTGTGCTGAGAACTGCCCAAGGCCATACTTTGCACAAAATAGACGAGTCCCAAAAATGACTTTACTCCTTGGTGGAGCATTGCTGGGAACACTTCATATATACAGTATATAATATATATATATACAATAAATTATACATATATATATATACGGTTATATACATGGCAAATCAGGCACCTTGATCCGTTGCATCCATTGCTGATGTCTGCGTTGCCTGTGAAAGGGACAAGCTAACACGCCTCTGATTTGATCGATCATGGCTTCTCATGTCTGACTGATGTCTGACGGTGTCAACAAGCAAACCTCCATGCTTGGCACAGGCAACGATCCAGGCTGAGACCTGTTAGAAGGCGGCAACCATTCGAATCTTTCGCGGTTTCTCCAGGTGAAAGAATGGACATTTATGGAGATGAATCCCAAGGGTCGGAACAAACCTAGACACGTGGCACTGCAATTGGATGACTTTGTTTCTGTCTAAGTTTGTAACAAAGCCACGAAGCGGCAAACTTCTCTTTTAGCGTACTCTCTCGGCGCAGATTAACATCATAAACCTAACGATATACCCCTCCAGCACCTCACAGCTTCGACTGCCATGCCTAGACAATGCTACACTACCAATAGAGTGATCACAAAAGTTGGAAGCTGGCAATATGCTACAGTGGAACAACAGCCAAACCTGGATCTGGTTAGTTGTCAGTTGCCCAAGCCATTGACTGCACACTGTTTGTCGCTAGAAAGATGTGTCAGTAAGTTTGACTTCAAACATGTGTGTGTGAGAGAATCGAGATTCGGATTCCGTGAAATTCGAGGGTATGCAGCATTGATCATCATTATATTAATATATTATTGAAGAGGCTGCATGGTCATGGTGGGGAAGGCGCTTCAGATGTGCCATTTGTTTCTTTTAGATTTATTATTTGCAGGAGACTTGAATATCTTAAACGCATGCTTTTCTTGCTTGTGTCTCCAAAGATATTGGCTAGGGCCAAAAAAATGTCACAGCACATCATCCAGCTTTTGCAGCTGGCAGAGCCAGCAACTTCATTGTGTTTCTGCCATAGCAAGAGCTTAGGAACGACAACACCAAGCTGCACAGTTGGCACACCTTTTCATAAGCCACCTTGCTGCAGTTGCAACTGGGCAACCAGCTTTTCGGCCTAAGATCATGCTCAAGAATCCTCAAAGTCACCGCTAAGCGATTGAAAGATCCCAAGTCTAATGGTGTGCCGGGGGGTCATGTCAATCAATGGATTTGTGAAAAGTTGTGCTGGTATAAGTTTGCAGGTGGTTGCACTATCACTATCCTTCAAATGATTGTTCTGCTGTATCTTTCCTGCAGACCATCTTCAAGAATTATCACTGGACTGATCTGGACTGTTCAACCCACACCCTGCACAAGATTTACAATTGAGGCCTTGACTGTGGATGCTACATTGGCGGCGAATGAAAGGGACAAGAGGTTGGAAATAGTTCCAGTCTCACGCGATCGATCGTCAGTTGACAGTAACGCCACTGAGCTGCCGGATGCTGCTGCAAACTCAATCACCAGGCGGAGATATTGTCCCACCACGGCTAGTCGAGGTATTCCAGCTGACAGCGAGGGTGCTTGTCGTCCAGTGCTTCCACTGTTGGAACCTTCTAAATCGGCCGCAGTTGTTAGCAGCGTCAAATGGAGGCAAAGCAAGTGAAGGGAAGTCTCGACGATAAAGAGCAAATGGCGAAAAGTCATTGCTGCACCGTCGAAGTGGATCTGGTGGCTATTCCCCTGTCTAAAATCGCTCACTTTGTTCACTCCCTCCTTTGAAGGCACTGCAGAATCTGACAGTTTCAAATTCAGCAAGCTAGAAGTAGCATGCACAAAGATCGCGCAAAGAACACCCGCACGCAGATTGGCTTCTGAAACGACATCCTGCGAGACGAGAACACCAGAGCGCAAAGGGCCAAAGGTTTGTGCCGCGGCCGAGGCTGATGATAGCCCCGATCCTGATAGGCTCTGGAAACTTTGCTGGACGCCCCCGAAGCCCCCGAAGCCCCCTGGAGGTTGTGGTCCTTTGTATGCCAGCGCCTTGATGTGTTGGGTAATGCCATCATGTCTCCACACGTGAAGAACATTGGAACAAATCTTAAGCTTTGTTGACTCGGAAGGTAGCATGCTTTCCATCAGAAGTGGTGTGCCCGAATCCGACATGTCGTTTTGATCTGCTGGACATGCACTGACCACTTGCATTGTGAGACCAGGCAGAGCTGGGCGGATCATGACCTCAAGCTGCTGAAGTTTGCTCAAGTATGGATCTTGCGAAGCCATCGAAGCCATGCCAGCAGCTGAGCCTTTGACTCTTCCAACAGCTGAAGTTAACAAAGACCACAGCTCAATGAACAAAGAGACACATCGATAGCACAAAGCAACTCCTTCCACTTGCAGCACTTGTTCCTCTGTCGCTGTCCCTGAAGCGACACCCAGTGCACGTCGGCCGCTGAGGGAAAAAGCCAAAGTGTCAACGGAAGCGTCTGCAGAGCTGTTTGCGCTGCTTGCTTGAAGAAAGCGGCAATGCACAAGCATAGCATCCGGACCACTGCGGCCGGCACTGCCCCCACTTCTTGCTGCCAAAGCGGAAACCATCGATGACAGAAGCGAAACATGTCCAGCCCGTCTGGGCTCAGCAGACAATGTCATCGGCAAGCGGGTGACCCATTGCACGACATCAAGTAGAGGCTGCAGATGTTTCTCAAGCCACTGCAGAGTGCTGTGTAAAACTAATGAATGCGTTGGAAGAACGCCAAGGGTGGAGACAATCACTTGCAAAATTGCTACCAGGGATGCCGGGTGGGTTGTGTCCAATGCATGCAATCCTGCAGGAGCCAATCTCATCCTGCAGCCCAGCATCTCTGACCGCAGAATGGCTGAGAAGCCTGCAGCTTCAAAAAAGGCGCTGGCTGCTTCAGGTGCTTGGCAAAGAACTGCAGCAAGAGCTGCACTTTGGTATCTCTGTACTCCTCGATCTGCTCGATTCTGATCCTGCTCTATACGATCTGAACCAATGAGTTCTGTAAGCTGCTGCCAAAGCCGACCTTTGAAGACCTGGGATCTCTGCTTCGCAGGTACTCGGGTGAGGAGTGCACACATCAGCGGCAGAGCGACTCCCTGGCGTGTCTCCTCAAACATCTCCACCTGCGCAGGGCCAGTCATGATTAGAAAGGCTTGACACAACAAATCCTCCTTGCAACTTTGCGACAGCCCATAGCAATCGAAAAAATTAAAAGCAGTGAAAGCACCGGAAAAGACATGAAAAGACAACATTAGTACGATGTTCGATAGATATTTCTTCTTTTTTCTTCAGTTTCTTCTTCCTCTTCTTCTTCAGTACTCTTCAATCTTCTTCCGTTTTCTCCGGTCTTCTTCCACCTAGGTCCTCCGTTTTTGATCAGACCACTGCACGCCTCTGCAACGGCAGCGGCCATCAAGGATGTCAACAGCTGGGAGAGTTCTTGTAGGTCCTGCAAGCAAAGGAGAGGTCAAAACTTTGGGATCAGAAATAAACCGAATATATCCGAATATATTATACGATAGACATATTATACGTAAATTATCGTAATGTTGTGTAGAGAGAGAGAGAGAGAGATGTTCGGATGTTCGAAAGATTTGTTTTTTTGAGTTTAGCTGTTTCTATAGTTGTTATTCAATATTGTTAAAACATGTTCTACCCGTTTCAACGCGATAGTCTTCTGAGATACACTGATGTACACTGTGTTTCTGTCTTACCCTGGAGGTTCCAGGCACCAGCTGACCTGCGCCTCAAGGAAAGAGGGCTGTAGACCTTGAGCCGCCTCCAACGCCTGGAAGCAAGACCCAACTCTTGATACTGTAAAAAGAGCCAAGATCTATGATGAGGCAAGTCGAGACCGGAATCGCAACACAAAGAAATTCAGAAGAAAAAAAAACGTCTTTCATCGTCTTTCCTGTTTGGATTGGCAAAATCTACAGTGATCACTGGGCAAGCGGCGGGGTCGGGCAACATCCGCTGCAAGAGAAGCAGCAGCGCCTGCTGAGGCTTTTGCTAAGAGACGCCACGAGGATGGGCCACAAGGACATGGTGCTCACATCGTACTCACATCGTGCTCTCGTGCTCGATACTGTTTCGTTTTTTTGTTGTTTATGTTTTTTTAATGTTGTTGATGCTTTTCTGTACCTATGTGACTAGGTCGCACAATGCCGCTCAAAGCAGCAGCAGCAGCAGCAGCAGCAGCAGGAGCAGCAGCGGCAGCAGCAGCAGCAGCCTTATCCACACAATTCTAGTTCAAAAGACTTTGAACTGACAAAATCATACAAAATCTTTGGTTGGCCCCTGTTGTCCGGTCATCCACTCATTGTGATTTTATGATATTTTATGAGGCTTTCCAGAAACTTCGCTGGCTTAGCTTCAACATCCAGTGCCCTCAATCTCCCTTCTAGCTTATCTGCGTACCTCAGGTAGAGCTTTCCTAAAACATCTTTCACTCTCACATTTATATTCAGACATTTTAATTTCATTTTATTTCCATGCCAACTTCCATGAAGTTTGTGCTGGCAGCCTTGCAGAACGCAGCCCAACGCATCTCGCCTCCTCCAAGTTCCTGCGAGACTCCCGAGACAATGGCCGAACCAAGGCCCCGCTGAGCAACCCATAGACTCTTCGCACGAAGGCGAGCGGTGGAGCCTTGGCAAGTCTAGGCAGCCCGTGACGCCCTTGGATTTGATATGGATTTGATATGGTTGATACTGAGATAGGTCGATTTGGTCGCCTCCAACTTGGTTGGGTCTGATGGAAAGTTCAAACAAGATCTATCAAATACCAATGTCATCCAATGTCCCGTCCAGATAGCCCTGCCTCGGAACGCTCCAGCATGGCCGCCAGAAAGGCAGTTGCCAGACCTTGCTGCTGCCATGCCATTAATTGGATCTTCTATGATCTTGACATCAATGACAATATACAACGGACAAGTCCCTACAAGTAGCGACACGCGAGCAATACACAAGTATGCAGCGGAACATGGCAGAACGATGCCTGACAAAAGCTCCAATCTTCGGGGTGCTTCTGCTCCAGATTCTTCAGCTGCCATTGCCGGAAGCAGCGCTTCGAGATGCGCTCGGGCAGCCTGATGCAGTGACAGCTTTGTCCCCAGTGCTAGCCGCTGTCTTTCTTCTGACCTTTCTGCTTTTTTGTCCTTGCAAACACAAGTGTCACGCCTGCGCTCTGGAGTCACTTGCAGCAGATGCAGAGCTCATGGCTGGCGGTCTCCCAACCTGCCACAAGGTGAAATGACTTCCAGAAGTAGAAACCGCTGCGGCGAGGAAAATCTTTCGTATGCTGGCCAAGCCGTACCACAAACATAATAGGATCTGAGTGGATATGAAATGGGATGAGATTAAATGGAATGAAATGAAATCAACGTGATGTGATGTTATGTGATATGATATATATAATAGCATATGAAATTCAATATGAATATGATATTCTGTGCTATATATGCAGTTTGTTGCTACAAGTATATGCTGCTGTTTGTTGATGTCTGTTGCCGTTTGTCGCACCAAATGACATAGGGCAGCCGCAGCGAACACAGCGAGCGACTTGCCTCAGAAGGCCCAAAGGAGTCAAACACTGAAGGGAAACACCGAGCCATTGCCATGCTGACTGTGAAAATGCGTTGACAATTGGGGATCACCGACAAGCTTGCTCTGTGTAGAAGGCAAAACAGGCCTTGACACACTTGCACTGCAGACATGAAATCTGACATGGTTTGTGACAAAAATTGTCAGCTATCCAGGTTAGCATCTGGGGATCTTGCATATTCATTTCGAGATCCAAGCCGCTTCAAATCCTCTGCAAATCTAGAGCGATCGCCTCGACTCAGTCTCATTGCTGATCTTGCTGCTATCATTGGTTGTTTTGAAACCATGGGATGATTGAACATGTCCGTGTGTTTGAATGGTCTGCCCTTCCAAACAGACAGGCAGGGCAGGATGCAATCTCAAAAGCCAGATGCCAAGAAAAGGCACAAACTAACAAACGACTCGCGCACACCCAAAATCTGCCTTCTGACTCTGTTGCGCTCAATTGGTAGCTCACGCCAGACAAGTGCAGCAGCACAAAAGGATCCTTGACGCATTGGCAAGTCTTGAAAGCAGAAGCACTTTGAGTGCGAAGCCGCGAAGCCTGAAGAGACAGTCCTGCAACTCCAGACTTCGAGTTAGACCACCACCAGCTTTGTCCGGAGCCATGCACTGGCAAGTGGAGGCTCGAAGGTGCTCCTGGTCTGCTTTGAAATATGAGATTGGAACTCGTCCAGAAGTGTAAGAATTGTAATGAGCAAGAAGAAAAATGCTACATGCAAATCAAGTGGTCCTGCATTGCATCACGTCCAAACAGCAGTGAGCCCTGGCGAAGAAAGCCAGCTTAACTATAGGAACATGTTTTTTTCAATTTGGTCCCTGCCTGTAGTGCTGCAGACCCAACCACTGCGTCAATGACGTCGCAGGCGTCGGCCAGCCGCAAAGCAGTGCCGATCAAATACGGCGTGGCGGTGTGCCTCATTCCATATCCGTCCATGTTCAAAATTCACGGGGACAAAGGAAGCATACAGCTTACTGCACGAGAATCCGGCGCTGACACACCAGTGTCTTTGGACGAGACCAGATCAGCAACCACCTCCTGATAGGAGGAAGAAATATCTGCATCTAGCAAGCTTGTAATTATGCAACACAGCCTGCAGATGCTCCGAGACATTCATCTTCATGTCAAGGCACCTTGCAAGACAAACGCATATTATATACATATTATTTACATATAATATGTTTTTTTGTACCTTTTCCATGGGCTCAAAGCAATTTGACAGGACGGAAAGTTGTTTCACAAACTGCCTGGGTATCCCACTGCTGCCCGACAATGTCAGTTGTCTGCTGTCCCACTGGAGGCCGTCCAGCAGGCCACACCAATCGCATTTCCCAAGAGCATACCTGTAGATTTGAGACAGTTTACAGTTTACACTCAACCAAACTTCGGCAAAGGCTTCGGGTGTTCACTTCTGTCCTTTTATATGTCTATGTTTTTTGTATTATATCATATTTATGTGTGTATGTATATGTATGTGTATATATATATATATATGTGTATTTATATATATATGTATGTATTTATATATATATGATTATATATGTATATACACGAATTATATACGTGTGTGTGTGTACATATTTCTGTGCTTTCCCCTGCCTGCAGAATGAGCGCTGCCTCAGACAGCAAGATCCTGCGCAGCATGGAAGTCAATGAAGACCTCAATTTTCGAAACCGCTCGACAGGCTACACGGCTACACGTGCTCCAAGATAGCGAGTAGTTGGAATCAGTTGGAAATCCATGAATTCTCAGCTTTGATTTAGATGATTTAGGTCGCCCTGCCACGGCACAGCCAGAAGGTTTTTCAACACCTGATCAAAGGTACCAGAAACGTACAGCATGTTCAAAAAACATGCTGAGCCATCTGTTCTCCAGGCCTTGTACCGTGATGTCCATGCATGACATACGTAGCGCAAAATTACATCCCGCAGGGCAGGCATGGCCTGCCAATTTTGAAAATGCTGCTTGAAATACCGAAGACTGATTGCAGTGCAAGAAATCTTGAAAACAACAATGGATTTGATGGCACCAGAAGGCTGAGCACGATGGACAGTGAAGCTTCGTATGCGCTATGGTTCTGCATCGCCTGTGCATAGTGACATCTGCGAGTCACTCTAGGAAGCCGAAAAATACCCTTCCAAACAAAACATGCGAAACGCTCGCACACACTGTTTCGATGCAATCTCACAATCTGATGCTATGTCACAGCTACTTTAAAAAATCTTTGAAATGCAGCTTCCACACATTCCGATGTCCACAAAGCGGATGCTCTGTCAGCTCGCCTGTTGAACCTCTGGCTGTGTTGCATTGTGTGGCTGCAAAGCCTTGCTGCCAGAAGGCCTGGCAGATTGTGAAAGGAGGACCTGAAGTTCCTTCTGAGTGGCAATGTGAATGCAAGGAGCGCTGCCAACATGGAGAATGTGAGCTGTCCTTGGACCTCCACTGTCAATCCAAGCTGGTAAGTTAGGTGGATTCTCTAACCTCGCAGCTCCAATACAGTGGCTTGTCATTCCAGATTGCCACATTGCGGGTTTTTTCTTTGGGCTTCTCTGGAACCATCGGCATTTTCCCTTCAATGTGCTTTCTGTTGAGGTATCGACAGCAACATCAGGGCGTCCAAAGGTGCTGGATTTCCGCTTCGTGTTGGATCCATGTCAATCATTCCTTACAACTGAGGAAGCACTCCAAGACCAAGCACAAATCAATACAAATCAACTCTCAATTTCTCTCAATCATTTCATGTCCCTGAATCATCTGCATCCTTGCAGCATTTCTGCAATACTGTGGCCCCTGCCTGTGACTGTCCTTGCCGTGGGATCCAATCCTGGAGATGTGATGTGTTGAGATTGGGAAAAAGTTGGGATGGCGGGCCCGACTACAGTCCAACAATCTAGAAGCTGATAAAACGATGTACAGCGATGTACGGCGATGTAGTGCGATGCAAAGCGATGTAAAGTGCACCAGCCCTGTAACCAGTTCTGGTACCACGGTAAGGTCTGGACCTAGGAGAAGTTGCCCAAGCTGTTGAGCTGAGCTTTCGGAATCTGCCAAAATTTCGGGCATCGACCAGTCGTTCACCAGTCGTTCACCAGTCGTTCACCAGTCGTTCACCAGTCGTTCACCAGTCGTTCACCCGTCGTTCACCAGTCGTTCACCAGTCGTTCACCAGTCGTCCACCAGTCACCACTTAAACTTGCGTCCAAAAGCGACCAGCCTCCAAGTAGCAGCAGAAACAACCGAAGGGTCAACAACCGGCCAGATTCCTGAATTCGACGAACTTGAATGTCGAAAATGTCAAACATGTGTTTAAATGTACAAAGGTCATCAACGGTCGCGAATGTCGAGTCGAGAACTTTCCAAAGCCACTTTGTACAGATCAACAGTCTCCGTCGACAGTTTTGAAGATGCCTTTCCTAATTTACATCTATATTAATCTATTTTATAGTTCATATGTATATTTTATCATGCAGCAGCTGCCATCGTGGATGTGCAATCTGCTTTCTCATCCCGGTTTTCCTTGGCTTCATGATCTTCATCTTAGGACAGGACTGTGGTCAATGCAGCAAAAGGCAGCTGCACCATGTGCTCATCATTGAGGGTGGCCACAATCGCAGCAGCACCAGCGGAGAGCCATGCAGCAGGAATGTCAAAGCCTTTTGCGAGTGAAATACACTAGTCACTACTCACAAGAGAGATATCCACAAAAGTGGAAGAAGCGACAGACATGAAGGGTCCAGATGGTGTTCTCAACTGATCCTCTCAAAGAACTTAGTCGATCTTGCATGAATTTCAAATTGAGACTGCGCCTCTGAGGTAAGCAGCTCTGAAGGTTGCTGAATCAGATGAGGCGCAGCCACGCAATGCCGAAACGCCAGCATCAGATCCTACCAAATTGAAAGCGTTGAGACCTTTGTGTGTTCCCGTAAAAGAGGACTGCGACGGACTATGCACTGTGCAAATGTTGTGCTAATCAATTCCAACATGCAGAAAATATACCTTTCGATCCTTTCGTACTCCACTCTTTGACAAAGTAACTGGCTGTTTTAACTGGCTGTGTTCTTGCTTTTAAAGTGAGTCAAGCCCCAATTCCAGATCTGCCTTCAGCAGAGGATCCACGTGCCCAAACTGCAACATCAGCTGCCTGCGCCAATGCCGATGCCCTTCAATGATGATATCCATAGTAAAGGGTTTGCAAAGGAAACCAATGCCTGAACCACTGAATCCTCAGCAAGCTGCTGTAAAAGGTCAACCTTAGCAGTTGTTTTACATCTCTCTCAGTCTCTCTCCATCACAGAGCACTACCAAATAGCAGGTACTGCACATCATGAAAAGACTTGAAAGAATCATTTCCTGAGATACTTGCTGATCGGCAGATTGGCAAACCCGTCTCAGAAGAAGCCACATCTAAATGGCACAAGTCAGGAGAAGCATCAATCTCCATAGCCTTCAGAGCATGCCAGCCGTGAACAAAAGAGTGCTTGGGAAACTTAGAGCAGTGGAAAGATTCAGAGAGTTGGGAGAATTGAGAAGCAAAGGAATGCAGTTTGCATCTGAATCACCTGAGTCCGACAACGCTAAAACTGGAAACGGTCTTTCACTGACCGATCTCACCGACGTATTGCCTTGCCTCGAGGGCAAAGTCAGCTTCGCTGTGCTTGTCCCAGTTGCGACCTTCATAGATCATCACCGCCAAGCAAAATTGATAGGAAAAAGGAGAGAGAAAAGGCTGAAAAGTTGTTCATGATTTGAATCATGATATCACAATATGATAACTGATATTATGTCACGGTCGCTCCAAATTGTTTCCCACTCGCCTTGTGACTTTGCTGCTGCAATTGCTTCTTCCGCCGCTTCTTCTCCATCAGGCCTTAATGAAAATGGTTTTGGGAACTAGTTCAAGCTGGCGGGACGGCGGGACGTTCAAGCAGATTGCACCACCAAACTCAGCAGCTGTTGCTATCTGCATCGATCTGCATCTGGGGTCACGTCTGCACAATTTTGTCATGTATGGCAGTGCTGATTGCTTGCAGCCTCCATGGCCTCGCTACTGCACAGTCAGGACAGTCATGACAGCGTAGTATGCAAAGAATTGCAACAGGTTGTGGTGCTCAAGCATGAATTCACGTGTGCTCACATGGCTCACATTTGTGACCGGAAGTCTCGGTTCCGTCACAGCTTCTGAGGCATCTACTCCAGCTGCAACAGCCGCAACACCTTGCTTCACAGCATATTCTTTGCTTTCAATGAACCGTTCAGTTGCCACTGGTCCCATGTTGGCGCATGTTTCACTGCTAGGGATGGCGCCCTCTTCGGCTCTCGGAAAGCACACTGCATGAACACATAGAGAGCCAAGCGACCAATGCCATTGTGCAAACCTCGAAACCGACATCTTCCAACATCTCCCTACCACATCATACCCAGACAACAAGGTCTCCAAATAGGATCAACATGGCGGCTTGGAACCACGCGTGCACCCATAAATTCCAGGAGCAACGCGAGGTAGCTTGGATTGTGTCGCTGCCCTGTTTGAGCCTCAGCTTTGAAAAACTTAATGAAAATTTCTTGCAGTAGGTTCGTTGACATGCTCATGCAAATCAAATACATTTCGACTCACTTTCGGAGTTCAGGCAATTAGGCTGAAACTCGCCGACAAAGGGACGAAGGCTGTAGAGTTAGGTTCACTTGTGGGTAATTCTTTAGGCAACTTCCAGGGAGACCTAGGAGCGGCTCAACTGGAAGTTCCTGATTGTTGGAAGTATGCGTGGCACGTGGACTCCCAGAAACCTTCGCTGTCGCTGTGGCAGGTACACGTTGTGCGCAGTGAGGACACTACTTTCTGACACGTTCGCACTGAGCAAACACTTAGATCCTTTACATAGATCCCACGTTTCGAGAGAGCACAATCAACACTTGTGCCTAGCGTACTTGAAGCTAGCATGATTCAATCAATCGATCGCAAACCTACCTAATCCTAGCTACAAGATCTACAAGGGGCATATTTGTGCAGACCATGTGTGCCGTGCATTCCAGATGTCGGTGCTGAGCATACTTGGACAAAGCATGCTGATGCCAGTCATAGCTTACCAATGCCTACTCTACTGTTGCTTTTATGTGAGGGTTTGGCGGCCCAAGACTAAACAAAAAGAAGTCTGGAGCAAGTGCTGATGATCTGAGACAACAGCGTCGAAGACCTCTGTCTCCACACGTGGTCTGGCAATGACAAAGGAGTTAGGTCGTTCAGTAGTGGTCACATTTCCAACCTGGCCTTTGGGACCAAAACGGGTTGAAGCCAGCGTAGGAGTTGCCTCGACCTTTGGCTATCTGCAAGCAAACAAGCAAAAGTGTGTCCCTCCGCTTCATTCGTAGCCCAGGGCCGGGCCTGCCCCCAAGTCTGCAGGAGGATATGCAAACGCAAACTCTGCCAATAGCAACTTGTGCGTCGGCTGGATCGGGCCATCCTGACAGTGATCTGAAGTCTGAAGATGTCATTCCAAACTGAACGAGTCAGGCTTCCAGCTTCCTGAGCCAAGAAAGCCTGTGGGCCTATCCCATCCCCCAGACAAGGCAGCGCAGCGGTGAAAACAAAAACAAGAGAGCTCCCTCCTGAAGGCTCGCAGTGCCCCAACTGCTGGCACGCTCGGATGCATGCTGCGCATGAAGCCGGGAGAAAACCACATCTCGCTGCAAAAGGATTCTCACCTCGGAAAATATTGGAAGCACTGGTTTGTCTGCTCTCTCTATGTGATCCTGCGCTCAAAGGTTGTTTCACCTGCTGACTCGGCTTCAAGCCACATCCAAGCCATACGACACGCATTGCTCCATGTAAGGATAGGCTGCTCCTCCTTTCCTTCTGTTTGCTAGCCTTGGCATTTGAATGAGGATAGCTGGGGATCTGCTGGGGATCTGCCGTAGGTCTGCATTCCATGATATTTGATGCAAAGGCCTGGACCCATCCATGCTCCGTCCCTGAAGGAGTGTGAGATTCAGCCTTCAAGTTGCAGTTGACACAGCTTGAGGATGCTTGAGGAGCATTTGTGATGGAAACATATGGAAACTAACTGCGAAAATCGGTAAAGCAAAATCAAAGCCAGGTGGACACTCGTGCAAATATTGGAGAATCCAAGCTCAAGAGACACCTCAGAACATGAGATGAAAGCTCTGTTGGGGGTTCAACGGTTCGAGCAGTGATAAAGTCGATAAAGTGTTCATGCTGAAAGATCTGAAAGCCCGAGGAGACTGGCCGAAATGCATAGGCTGTTGCATTTCCTGCAGCGCATCGCCTCGGAGCACTTGAAGGAGACCGTAGGAGACCGTAGGAGACCAGCTTTACCCAGGGCAGGATGGGGAGAAGATCGCTGAGAATATCTGAGAATGCCGACGCGGCCACTTCTGCTGCAGTGGCATCGCAATCACTGTATGGCCTGGCACAGAGCCCAAAAAGAGCGACATGGAAGATTAAGAAATGAAATGAGAAGTGAATGAAAAAGCGAAAGAAAAATACAAGAAGCACCGGACGACTTCCATGAGTTTCATGTTTGACCTGCCTCACTATCAACATATTCAGTGCTGAAGACCCACTCAGCGGCAAAGGCCCTCGCCTAGGCGCTGCAAAACATTTTAGATATTTTTAGACCCTCAGCGGTTCCTGAGGCTGATGCAGCACCAAACGCAACCACCGGAGAGAGAGTGCCTGAGAACAACATGAAATCCACAACAGAAAGAGGCGTTGCAGGGAGATCCTCCGCAACATAAACCATGACAGCCATGACAAAGCATCACCGGATGCCAAGCGTTTGCACTGGCAGTTTTGAGAGACAGGCAGCCAGTCTCCAGTACCGGGCACTGCTAAATGCAGACGGCTCGGACAGGGTCTTGAGGATCACCTGACAAAAGCGAAAGCTGTGAAGATCTCTTAGAAAGATTCCCTTGCCAGCGCTTACCCGGCTTACCCTACACTGAAGATTTTTTGTGACATGCTCTTCACAGTTTCTGTATTGAGCTTCGTATCCTACTTATCGTGTGTGTGTGTGCGCCAGGCTTATCATCTTGCAGAATATCTTCTCTTGCGTTGCTAAACCCACTCGAAGTCGAAAGGAACTGTGAGAATGAATGTTCTGTGACCGTCGTGACCAATGATTCACACATCCACAAGTGGGGAGTTGCTTGGACCCTTACACCAGATCTAGAGTGACAAACGTTGGCAACCCAATCATTTTCATTCATTTTCTTTCTTCCTTGTCCTACACTTGTTCTATTTGGCAAAGGTCGACAGCAGCAAAAGGAGGAGGACGCAAGAAGTATTTTGTGGGCCTGATGAATCACCACATGGGTGAATGGCTGTAGATCCAAGCCATATCGCCCTTTGTTGATAGGCACTGCCTGGTCTGGATGGAAAGAACACGGATATGTTCAGCTAATTCAGCTACCGTTACAAAGAGAATTCCTCCAATGAGCAAAGCAGCTCGGCATGAGTGCTTTTGCCTCTATCCCGCCTGCAAGAATCGAAGGGCGCAAGCCAGCAATTCAATTGCCACAGCACCATCCTGCAGCAAAATGCAGGTGTGAATTGTGTGCCTCACAATGTGGCCTGAAGCAGCATATACCAATACATGCTGCTGTTTTCACCTTTTGGCCCAACTCCCCCTTTTACCTCAGGGATGGGCGACCCTTAAGGGCACCAGAGCCATAGGCTGCCGACTTGCAGCCCCGTTGTGCGTAAAGGCTGCAGCTGCTGTTAGGTGTTGCACTTCGTGTGGCAATCATCCTGGATCAGTTGGATACCGCACCCTGATCAACATTGGTAGCGGAGCCTACCAGGCTCCCTACCCAGCTCTACTACCACCACTTCATCCTGAACTTTAACTACATCGAGCCCAACGCTTCACTCCCACTACTTCGCTGTCGAGATCCTCACGCTCTTCGTGCTGTGCTGGCTTGGGCGACCTACATCCTGCAGCATGTCTTCTTCGAGCTTTCCTTCTTCGCCTTCACCTGGGGTGGACATCGTCAAGGACTCCTACATCCCAGTCTTCTCGAACAAGCCAGAGGACTACCGAGAATGGAGAGCCAGAATAGCTCTTTACCGACGGAAGATGGAGATTCAGAAGAAGAAGGAGGCATGCATCAACTTGATGACAAGCCTGACTGGCATAGCTTGGCGCCAGATAGAGCACTTGGTCGACAAGGCCTCCGAGGACAAGGATGGATTCGATCTGATCCTTCGACAATTGGATCAGACGTTCAAGTATGACGACCAAGTCGAGATGCCAAGAGCCTTTGAGAAGTTCTTCTACGGCACCTCACGCCGTGAAGGACAGACACTCCTGAACTATGTGGCCGAGCACCGCGAGGCATTGGCAGAACTGGAAAAGCATGGAATCTCCTTGCCCGACAAGGTTGCTGGCTGGGTACTACTTCGTCGAGCTGGCCTATCGCAAGAACAAAAGCAGCTTATACAAGGAAGAGCTCCTGACTATGCGCAGAAGGCCGTGACGGAGGCAATGTACTTCTTGCTTGGGCAGGACTTCAAGGGCAAGAGTGCTGACCGATCTTGGCGTGGCAAAGGCTATGGATCACCAAACCGTTGGCGAGGGCGACAACAAGGCTACATCACTGAGGACTTCTACGAGGCTGAGGATGACAACATGGTCTACGACGAGAACTTCGACGACACCGAGTTCGACGAGCCTTGGGATGATGCCTACTACGAGGACGACGAGTACGAGGAGCAGACCTATGCCGCCAACGATGAGGTGGATGTCTCCGACGAGACCTATTGGGAGGCTGAACAGAACTATGAAGATGCGTTTGCAACGTATCTTGATGCCCGTCGCCAGATGGCACACTTGAAAGCCTCTCGAGGATTTTTCCCGGTTGTGGCCCTGACGGATGGAGGTGGATCTGCTTCTGGTTCCCCGATGTCACAAGGCCCAAGACCTCCAAAGGCCAAAGGCCGTGGAAAATCCAAGTCCAATACCAAGTCCAAGAACAAGACCAGCACCTGGGTCAACAAGGGAGGACAGATTCCACAGCGAGCCAACGCCACGCGCTGTCTCAAATGTGGCCAAGTTGGACACTGGGCAGCTCATTGCCCCCAAAACTCACCGTCGAAGTCTACGACACGGCAGAGCCCTACTTCCTCTCCTACCTCAACATCTCCGTCGAAGAAGGCCAAGGCCAACGATGGATCTGCGATGATGGTGCGCGACATGGCCAAACAAGGACCTCGAGGAGTACCACACCTGGGCCCTGCTGGATGGTTTGGACTTCAAGATGGAGGTGCAAGCTCAGTTGTCTGTGGTCACGATGTCCTGATGCGCATCGTGGACTACATGCGTGGTCGTGGCCTCAGCCCTGACCGGTTCCTCTTCATGCCGACCAACAAGACTTTTGGTTTTGGAGGTGACGCTTCGAGACAAGCTGACTGGTCAGTCCGCTTACCAGTCTACATTGGTGGAAGGACTGGCTACATGGAATGCTTTGTGGTCGAAGGCAACACGCCGCTCTTGGTCGGAAGGCCGATCTTGCAGGCCTTGAAGCTGAAGATGGACTACGACACCAACAAGATGTCGATTGGTGATGGCCCCTGGACAACAGTCACCCAAGGTGAGAAGGGAGAATTCCTCCTGAGGTTGGACGACGGAGTCGAAAACGACCCTGATGGCAACAACGTGGACTTTGACTACGTGACTGACGAGACCTTCAACGCCATCACCAACTACGAGGACCTTTCCGACTACATCGACATCCACGAGTACCTGGCCACCACCAACCGCGCTGGACCTGAGACTGCCTTCCAGATGGACGAGGACATCGACAAGATCGACCTCAACTTGTACGAGCCCGAGATTGCAGTTGGAGATGGCCCCTCCGAGGTGAGAAGACCCATCACCAGCAAACTGGTGAAATCCCTGAACATGAACTTCAACAAGTTCTCCAAGCAGAGAAGAACCGTGGTGGAACAAGCCTTGATAGCCCATGAGGCTGGACGCAAGGTCTTCTGGGAAGTCTACAGTGGCAGTGCAAACCTCAGCGCTGTCATGGCTGAAGCTGGCTGGGAAACTATGAGCTTTGACTACAACACCGGCTGGGACTTCACCCGAGCTGACCACCGACGAGATTTTTTGAAGCTGCTGGACGCGACATGTCCTGAGTTTGTATGGTTGGCCCCACCTTGCACGGTCTGGTCTTCTTTGCAGAACCTCAACATCGACACCCCGGAGAAGCAGATCGCCCTCCAGGCTGACCGAGACTATGAGGAGAACACTCACCTCAAGATGTGCAAACGTGCCTTTCAGAAACAACAACGAGAAGGCCGGCATGCCGGCTTGGAACAACCAAAGAATGCTCGCAGCTGGGGAACTCCCACACTGATGGCTGTGGATGGCCATGATGCCCTCTTTGACCAATGTGAATATGGCTGCGTCCTACCAGATGAGAATGGTGACTACGTCCCCATCAAGAAGAGCACCGCCCTGCGATGCACGGACATGGACATGGCCATGGAGTTGACTGCCCCTTGCCGAGGTGGACATGATCATCTCCCAATCGAGGGTACTTCCCCAGGGATTGGATCCCGAGCTGCTGCCGCTGGACAATACCAACTTCAAATGTGTTACCACTTCAAAGAGGCCATCGAGCGGATCTTCCAGTACAAGGGCGAGGACGCTTTTGGCTTCAACGAGTCCAACGACCCCGTTGCTGAGGAGATCGAGGCCGTTGAGTTGCCGGACAACATGGAAGAGAGCCCTGCGGATGAGCTTGAACAAGCACCAGCCAAAGGTGTCTTGAATCGACTGAATGATGAAGATTGGCAGAAGGCCAAAAGAACTGTGCTGCGGCTGCACCGCAACCTTGGACATCCGACGAAACACGAGCTCATCAGGCTGCTCAAGAATAAGAACGCTTCGAGCTCTGTGATTGAAGCTGCACACAAACACGAGTGCAGTCTATGTGACCTACATCGACGACCAACAGGTGTCCCGGTCTCCAGCATGCCGAAGGACGCCCAGTTCAATCACCGAGTTCAAGCAGATACCCTGTGGGCGACGATTCCTGGACAACGTCAACAGCAACCAGTGCTGATGATGTCTGACTGCACCACCCGCTTGCTGGCTGCTAGGCACTTGCGTGGTGGCGAGAAGACTGAAGAGTTCATCAAGCACTTGGAGCGTGCATGGATCCGCAACTTCGGACCAATGCGCATCCTGCAGGTGGACGAGCACAGAGCTTGGTCTTCGGATGCTATGCGACAATGGTGCACCGAGAACGGAGTACAACTCCAGATCAGCCCTGGCCAGTCCCATACCAGGCTGGCGATCTTGGAACGTCGCCACCAGGTGACACGCAGAGCCCTGAACCTCTTCCTGGACGGCAACCCGAGCATTGCAAGCTCGCCTGATGCGCTGATCACAGCGTTGAACTACGTGGTCCCCCAGATCAACAGAACACCAAATGTCTGTGGCTTCAGCCCTGTCCAATGGACCTTGGGATACACTCCCCACGTGCCAGGTTTGCTCATGGAAGAACAGAACCTGCATAACCCAGCGACGCTGGACCCTTCAGAAGCCTTCATGGAGAAGCTCAGGCTGAAGCAGCAGGCAGTGAAGGCCACTTCAGAGGCCGACATGGACCGCCGTCTACGGCGGGCCCTTCTACGGAAATTTATGGGCCAGCAGACGCTCTTGAACACGGGCGACCTCTGCTATTACTGGAGAGATGCCCCTGCAGGGTCAAATGCAAAGTTGAGGTGGCGTGGACCAGCCACTGTCATCATGCGTGAGACAGGTGTATCTGGCCCCAACTCCGACATCTACTGGCTTGGGCATGGGACGGTCCTACTTCGTGCGGCTCCAGAACATGTTAAAGCTGCACAAGCTGCCGTCGACCTCACTGAGAAGGCCACAGACCCCTTGGTCGTTGCAAAGGATGCCCTCCAACACATCAGAAATCGAGGTGTCACACACTATGTGGACTTGAGCAAGACCAACAAGAGACGACGTGACGAGGTGGACACCGATGAGGAGGAGGGAGAAGACGACAGAGACATGGATCCTTTGACAGTGCAAGACCTACCACCAGATCGATGGCAAATCAGTGACGATGGCAAGGTTTGGACACGGATCCACAACGTGCCCAGGCAGAAGCTCTATGTTCCTGCTGCCGAGATGGACATCCCGGTCCACCGCTTCAAGGATGAGCGCATCACCGATGTGAGGCGCGGTGGGCCCAATCCAGAACATCTACGATTCCGAGATGAGTGGCGACTACCTCATGCAGATCGCGCACTCCACTACACTTGGACTGGAACTACGACCTTCATCGTGGATGTGGACAACATGTCTGAGGGATATGCCCCTACGACGCCGCTGGATTCAGATCATGAAGGGGCTGGAGAACCTCCTGATGAAGAGCCCCCTTCTGGTTCCGCTGGACCTACAGGTCCTAGTGCTGTTCCTGGTTTGGCTTCCAAGGCAATGGCGAGACCGACTTCCTCTACTTCGACTCCTGGTCATCAACATCAAGCACTTCCTCCTGAAGATCGACGGGAAGCTCTCGCTCCTGGAGAAGAAGTACAAGATCTACCGGTATCACCAACGGTGCAGAGTGTGATGGAGCCAGAACCACTGGAAGAACCTGTTGTGCCTTCCCTGACGGAGTCACACCTTCCAGTACCACCTGATCAACAACGACTGTATCAAGCTCCTGCTGGTGGAGAAACCTTTGCTGCTCAACGAAGCCGATATGAACAGCAGGAATCCCTGCTCTTCAAGAAGCCTTCTGGCTATGGGCCTGCGAGAAATGCGCCTGAGAACAGGCCAACGCCCTACTCAGAGAGACCAGTTGGAGAGAACTCCAAAGAAACTTTTGAGTTTGCCTGCGATGTAGATGTTGTCCCAAAGGACATGGTGCTTCCATCTGGCTGGACTGTGGAAGATGGTTTTCTCCAACTTGGACAAGTTCAAGATGAATGGATCTTGGAAGGCAACTACCTGACCAAGCGCCACTATGGAGCTCGTGACTGCGAGTTCACTCCAACAGCGGAGAACTGCCCCATCGACCTGAAGTACCTGACCAAGCAGCGCATCACCAAGCTGTCGAATGGCCAGGTGATCCGCGACAAGTGGACGAGGAGCACACCGTGCACCAGACTTCAGGGCTACGATTGGACAGGCTATACCCGCTTCAAGATCCACACCTCTTGGAGACGACAAGCCTACAAGGACTTCTATGACAAGAGCCAGAACACCGAGACCATCTACATGCAGCAGCGAGCAGCTCAGTGAGCGATCAATGTCCCTTGCGGACAGACTGGCCTTTCTTGAGGCTAAGGAGAAAGAACTGAAGTCCTTCTTCGAAAACGATGTTTGGGTCTTCGACACCATGACCGAGGACAAACGCCCCCGCACGATACGTGCCAAGTTCATCCTGAACTGGAAGAAGGATGACAATGGTGGGCGCCGAGCCAAAGCTCGCCTGATCTGCCAAGGATTCAAGGATCCTGATGCTTTGAATGGATCACTGACAACGGCTTCACCGACTTTGACAAGATTGTCCAGAAGCCTGATCCTGAGCATCACCTCTATGCTGGGCTACACCCCCTTCACCGCCGACATCACGACCGCCTTCCTCCAAGGAAAGAAGTATGACCCCAACTCAGAGAGAGTTTTGTGGATCAAGCTTCCGAAAGAAGCTGAACAGATCCTGGGGCTCCAAGGAGATCATGGGCAGGTCATGAAGCTGACAAAGCCGATGTATGGTTTGGTGGATGCACCGAAAGCCTGGTTTGATGAAGCAGTCACCCGAATCCTGGAGACTGGCAAAGGTGCAATCATTCAACATCCGTTGGATAGCTGTCTTTTTCTGGCCTATGATCGACCGATTCAACTTGGTGCTGAAGATCAACAAGAGCCGAAGTTGCTGGCGATTTTTGGGATCCACGTGGACGACCTCTTCGGGGCCTACAACACTGAGGACCCGGCGACCCTGGAGATCATCAACAACCTGCAGAACGTCTTCAAGTTCCGCGAGTGGCACTCTGGGTCCGAGAAGGAGGAGCTCACGTACTGTGGAGCCCAAATCTCCAAAACTTCAGATGGCCATTGGAAGATCTTCCAAGGTGACTACTTCAAGCGGCAGAAGCCGATCACCATACCCAAGGAGCGCCAGAACAAGGACCTCCCTGTGACGGAGAATGAGCGCACCGCGCTGCGTGGCCTGCTGGGTGCACTAGCCTGGCCGGCTACCCAAACGGCACCACACCTTCAGGCAACCACAAGTTTGCTTGCTGGAGAGATAACCAGTGCAACAACAAAGACTTTGGAGTCAATGAATAAAGCACTGAGATATGCCAAGGCCAACTCTGACGTCGGCCTTGAATACAGGCACTTAGGTGGCAAGGACGAGGTGACCTTCATAGCCTTCTCCGACGCCTCCTTCGGATGCCGAAATGACCATTCGAGCCAAGGTGGTTTCATCCTCCTGATGGTCCACAAGGACGTTGCCAATGGAGCTGAAGGGCATTACAACGTCATCGACTGGCGATCGTGGAAGTTGGCCCGGATCGCTCGATCAACTTTGGCGGCAGAGAGTCAGGCCGCGAGCGAGGCAGCAGATTCACTGCTTTTTGCGAGCACCTTCTGGAACCTGATCTGGAAGCCGTGGCTACCTTTGGACCAGGTTGAGACGGCACGACTGGTACATGCTCCGAAGCTGGTTGTGGACGCCAAGGCCCTCTATGACTTGCTGGTCAAGCCTGAACTGCAAGCAACAAGTGGAACTGATAAAAGAACAACCATAGAAGTACTTGTCACCCAGGACAAGCTCTGTTGCTGCGGTGGAGCAACTATGTGGGTTTCATCTGAGAGACAGTACTCAGATGGGTTGACGAAGCAAAGCGCGGCCCAACTCCTGGCCGACAGACTACGAACCCATATGGTCAAGCTGACCAGTGACATCACCTTTGAAGCATCGAAGAAGAAGGACCCCAAGCTGCGAAGACAGAACGCCCTGATGTATGCCGAGAAGAAGCCCTCTCGAGCACTGGCTGCAATGTTTTCCATGTGTATGATGGCAACATGCAGCGCTGAGGAGATCGACATCCAGTACAACCCCAACCACTACTACTTCATCAACCTGAACTTCAACTTTGTCCCGATCCTCATCACCACGATCATGATCTTGCTCTTCGGCTACTGGTGGATGAGGGGCCATTTGGCCACATGGACTTTACCAACTACCTGGTGGAGAGCGACTGGCGAAGCTGAAGTCGAAAACTTCCAAGAAGCGAGTAGACCAGCTCCGACCTATGTGGATGCAGGTGTCGAAACTGACATCAGGATGGGTGATTTCGTGACCCAGATGGAGTATGTGCAATTGGTGGATAGCATTGAAGCTACACACATTCCTCGAGAAGAACACCAGAGGATGCTGGACGACCAGGAGACCAACTCCCGGCTCAATGCACACCACCGAGTCCAACGACCCATCTACTTCACCCAACATGGCAGATGCTGGCATGCAGAATATTTCTGCGTGAGGAGCCAAGCATCAACGAGGATCCACCAGAAAGAGTTCTGCACGCGATGTTGTCAGTCACTAGGCATTGCGCTGCCACCACAAGACTGGGAACGCGACCTTTGAAGACGACTGGTTGGACTGAGGCTCTTTTAGCCCAAGGGTTTCAACTTTTCTTTTCTCCACACTTTGACCAGTGTGAATTGTGTGCCTCACAATGTGGCCTGAAGCAGCATATACCAATACATGCTGCTGTTTTCACCTTTTGGCCCAACTCCCCCTTTTACCTCAGGGATGGGCGACCCTTAAGGGCACCAGAGCCATAGGCTGCCGACTTGCAGCCCCGTTGTGCGTAAAGGCTGCAGCTGCTGTTAGGTGTTGCACTTCGTGTGGCAATCATCCTGGATCAGTTGGATACCGCACCCTGATCAACAGCAGGTCTTGTAATTCGGAGCGTTTCTTTTAAAAAGACACAAAATTCAATTTAGATTGCACAGTCACTGCACTAAGGGCAGAACACAAGATTTTGGCTGCTCCAGGAATGGCACAAGGCTTGGCACCGCTGCCAGAACCGAGGATAGGATCATTCGACTTACCTTGGTGGCACGACGCCTCAAAACCTCAATACATCTCTGTAGTTCGTTGATTCTTCCTTGATCCTTCCTGGCTACTTCCTTCACATGTTGAAGAATCTTGGTGCTTAGCCTGTGGGGGAGGCAGGTCTAGATTTCCGAGCCTCAGAGCAAGACAGTGAACGCACAATGAACCAGCTTCCGCATTTCTGTGTCTGTGAGAAGCCGAGCATTTGACGCACCCAGACAGGCTGCTTTGACAGCGGGCTCGGGATGAGTCGAAAGCAGCTCAACCTTCCGTCTTGCACGGATTCTGTCAGAAGTCAAAGGCATCGAATAATAGAGAGCCCATTTGATTCTTGCCTTTCTGCCTGTCCTGACTAGAGACAAACTCCAACACTCAAGAGGAATTTGCTGGGTTTCTGGCTAAAATGTTTGCAGTGTTTTCTGCACGCCCCCATGGGTCACCCATGGAAGACGCCATGCCTCTCAGCCCAGAGCATGTCATGGACATTTCTGTATATAGCAAGATAATGCAAAATATCAAATATCACATGTTATCACATGTTCAAAGGAAGTTGGGAAGCAATACTTCCGAGTTACGGACAAATAGAATTCTGAGACTTGAAATGATGAAGGGTGGTATATCATCTAACAATATATAACAAAAGAATAAGAACCTATGCAGTTGACCTTGTTGAAGGGTGGTAGGTCACATAACAATACATAATGTAACAATACATAACAAAAGAATAAGAAGCTATGCAGTTGACCTTGATGAAGGGTGGTAGATCACATAACAATACATAATGTAACAATACATAACAAAAGAATAAGAAGCTATGCAGTTGACCTTGATGAAGGGTGGTAGATCACATAACAATACATAATGTAACAATACATAACAAAAGAATAAGAAGCTATGCAGTTGACCTTGATGAAGGGTGGTAGATCACATAACAATACATAATGTAACACTACATAACAAAAGAATAAGAAGCTGTGGAATTGACCTTGATGAAGGGTGGTAGATCACATGACAATACAGAACAAAAGAATAAGAAGCTATGACACAGGGTGGGTGAAGAACGGAAGTGATGTTGAAGGGGAGTGGTGACGAAGGGAAGTGGTGAGGAAGGGAAGTGGTGAAGAAGGGAAGTGGTGACGAAGGGAAGTGGTGAAGAAGGGAAGTGGTGAAGAAGGGAAGTGATGATGAAGGGGAGTGGTGACGAAGGGAAGTGGTGACGAAGGGAAGTGGTGACGAAGGGAAGTGGTGACGAAGGGAAGTGGTGAAGAAGGGCAAGTGGTGACGAAGGGAAGTGGTGAAGAAGGGAAGTGATGATGAAGGGAAGTGGTGAAGAAGGGAAGTGGTGACGAAGGGAAGCGGTGAAGAAGGGAAGTGATGATGAAGGGGAGTGGTGACGAAGGGAAGTGGTGAGGAAGGGAAGTGGTGACGAAGGGAAGCGGTGATGAAGGGAAGTGATGATGAAGGGGAGTGGTGACGAAGGGAAGTGGTGAGGAAGGGAGGTGGTGACGAAGGGAAGTGGAGAGGAAGGGAAGTGATGATGAAGGGGAGTGGCGAGGAAGGGAACTGGCAACCATGAAGGGGAGTGGTGCATGATGTTGCAAGGGCTCTGTTGTGGGGAGGAAGCCGGAGCACCAAACCTTGCGTTTTTCCGTGTAAAGTGGCTGCAGCCGACGATGAAAGGTACCTCGTCTGTGCGACGGGTGCGGCTGGGGTCGTTTCATGCGCGAATTGGTTCCTCCTATGTGTTTTGCAACGAGTGGTTGTGTCTGTGCGTGTAGTTCTATGCGATTCTTGAATCTTTGGTTGTGGATCGCATTGGAATGGCTGCATGAATGTTGCATGGGCTATCTTGTGGGGAGGAAGCCGGAGCACGAAACCTTGCGTTTTTCCGTGTAAAGTGGCTGCAGCCGACGATGAAAGGTACCTCGTCTGTGCGACGGGTGCGGCTGGGGTCGTTTTGTGCGCGAATTGTTCCTCCTATGTGTTTTGCAACGAGTGGTTGTGTCTGTGTGCGTAGTTCTATGCGGTTCTTGAAGCTGTGGTGGCAGATCGCATTGGAATGGCTGCATGAATGTTGCATGGGCTTTGTTGTGGGGAGGAAGCCGGAGCACGAAACCTTGTGTTTTTCCGTGTAAAGTGGCTGCAGCCGGCGATGAAAGGTACCTCGTGTGTGCGGCGGTTGCGGCTGCGGTCGTTTCATGCGCGAATTGGTTCCTCCTCTGTGTTCTGCAACGAGTGGTTGTGTTTGTCTGTGTAGTTCTATGCGTTTCTTGAATCTCTGGTTGTGGATCGCATTGGAATAGCTGCGTCAAGGTTGCATGGGCTACCTTGTGGGGAGGAAGCCGGAGCACGAAACCTTGTGTTTTTCCGTGTAAAGTGGCTGCAGGCGACGATGCAAGGTACCTCGTGTGTGCGGCGGGTGCGGCTGGGGTCGTTTCATGCGCGAATTGGTTCCTCCTCTGTGTTCTGCAACGAGTGGTTGTGTCTGTCTGCGTAGTTCTATGCGTTTCTTGAATCTCTGGTTGCGGATCGCATTGGAATGGCTGCGTCAAGGTTGCATGGGCTATCTTGTGGGGAGGAAGCCGGAGCACGAAACTTCACGAAACCTTGTGTTTTTCCGTATAAAGTGGCTGCAGCCGACGATGAAAGGTACCTTATGTGTGCGGCGGGTGCGGCTGGGGTCGTTTCATGCGCGAATTGGTTCCTCCTCTGTGTTCTGCAACGAGTAGTTGTGTTTGTCTGCGTAGTTCTATGCGTTTCTTGAATCTCTGGTTGTGGATCGCATTGGAATGGCTGCGTCAAGGTTGCATGGGCTACCTTGTGGGGAGGAAGCCGGAGCACGAAACCTTGTGTCTTTCCGTGTAAAGTGGCTGCAGGCGACGATGCAAGGTACCTCGTGTGTGCGGCGGGTGCGGCTGGGGTCGTTTCATGCGCGAATTGGTTCCTCCTCTGTGTTCTGCAACGAGTGGTTGTGTCTGTGTGCGTAGTTCTATGCGTTTCTTGAATCTCTGGTTGTGGATTCGCATGGTGGAATGGATGAGTACAAGTTGCAGGGTTACCTGTGGGGAGGATAGCGGAGCACGAAACCTGGTTTTTCCGTGTAAAGTGGATGCAGGCGACGCTGAAAGGTACTCGTGTGTGGGCGGGAGGGAGGCTGGGGTCTTTCAATGCGTGATCAAGGCATGATTGTTGCCAAGGATTCAGAGTGAGATGAAAAAGGGCCATGATCTGCATCGCGCTGGGTTCTGAGTTCTGCTTACTTCTGAAGTAAAGACGTGTAGCTTCAATGGTGTTTGATGCAAAAAAACAGTTTCTGTGTGATGCCAAGCAAAAAAAGGTATGGTAAAAAAGGGACACATGAGGAATTCAAAGTTTGTGAAGAAACTGGGGAATGCGAATCAGAACAGGATGGGTGCACTGGTTGTTGGATGTTTCCTGTTATGTGAACACTGTTTGCTCCACACTGCAACGATGTGTTTATGCATGATAGACTGAATGCCAGCATCGATGTCGTGTCTCTGGTTTGACGTGCTTGCAGCTGTTTGAAGTGATGGCTTCCAAGGATAAAGTTCATGAAAGCTTTGCTGACATATGAGAAGAGATGAGATGAGAAGAGATGAGCTGGGATAAGGTGAGAAGAGCTCAGATGAGATGAAGGGTGCAGTGTGAAGTGTGGGGCAAGAAGAGTGCAGTGTGAAGTGTGGAGTGTGAAGTATGAAGTGCGGAGTGTGAAGTGTGAAGTGTGGAGTGTGAAGTGTGGACTGTGAAGTGTGAAGTGTGGACTGTGAAGTGTGAAGTGTTGACTGCGAAGGGTGCAGTGTGAAGTGTGAAGTGTGGAGTGTGAAGCGTGAAGTGCGAAGTGGAGCTTCAAATGTGACATGTGATACAAGACACCAGTTTCGCAGAGTGCACGCACGCACGGGCTTGGCTGGCGCACGGCGCATGCAAGTTCTATAGATGAGAAAGGTCTTATATATATCTTTAAGGCAACTTCCGCCCCGCCTCGTGCGGGTACTACTGGTAAGACATCGTATTGCACGTTTCAGTCCGTTCCAGTAAACACAGAACATCAGAGAAGAATCGTGAACCCAGCCTGAGTTGAGGCTCTGCGCAATGGGCTGCACTGTTGGCTGCACAACCTTGGCTCAAAGGTGCCACCAAGAAGGGCTGCGCCAACAGGGGCCGTGCCAAAGGGTTGTTGCTGCGGGGTGCCATTGTGGTAGCCTCCACTTGAGGCCTAGGCGAGCAGTCGGCTGCCGCAGGCACCAGAAACCAAATGACCTGGCCAAACCGGTTCGAAATTTGAGGCATGGGCACTGCCAGAGACTCTTAGTCAAACTATGTCAAACTTAGTTTACTTGTTCTTTACTAAATCATGCCACAGCTGCAAAGTGCAACAGTCACAGCATCTGCTGAGAACGAAGTTCCGCCACCGTGCTGTGCAGGAGTTCTTGCCTCCGTTAGCTGGGCAGGGCACTGGGCAACTGAACTGCGGCTGCAATATCCACATATATCTGCCAACTATACGCCTATACGCCACACGGTTCGAGCACCAAGTGCTCTCGTTCAAGCCTGCTGCATCAGGGTGTCCAAGAGGAAACTCCAGTTGAACCACTGGTTGCTATGCGACCTGGTCTGCACTCCCAAAATGCTGAGAATGTAATGAGCACGCTTCTGAAGTCTGCAAACTGAGGTTCAGACAAAAGCTTTTGGCAAACGAGGCTTGCATTTTGCAAGGACCTCTCCAAGAGCAACAACGAACGAATCGACGAAACCACCAGACCTGGTTAAATTCACCACACACACAAACGAACAAACAAACAAACAAACACAAACACACACACACACTGGGCGAGCCACGCAAAAACAATATTTGGGATCCGTTCTCTCTGGAAGCGACAATTTTGTCAGGATATGGGTCGAAATGGCAATTGCGAACATGACCATTCGCACTGAGTAGTCTAGCAACCATTTGATCTGCGAACTACTGACAAGAACATTTGCAGTAAAAGTCATGACTGGAAAACGGATCAACAAGTACAAACATAAAATTTGGGAAGCAGTCCCTGCAAGCGTAGACTTCGAGGCTCCTACCCTCGACTGCAAATGGTAGCGATGAGGTCCAAAATCTCCGCATAAAGCATCGTGTTGTCCTTGAAGGTTGGCAAAGTAATCCAACTCCATCGCATATGCGTCGCATACTTATAATATCTGACGTATTATATTGTATTGAAATCTCAAGCAAGCAAGACTTTTCTCAATCGAACTGGGCTGCAGCACATGGCGTGCACCAGTCATTGTTCCAGCCACCCCCACCTTCAACAATGAATTCAAGCAGGTGACTTGCAAGTGCTTTTTATTCTGAGCATTGTTGATTTTGAATGGATACTGTGTCTGGCCTGCTGCATTCCTCCGCTTCCAACTGCGTTGTTACCTCAATGGTATGGGAGCAGAGCTGTGTGGGAATCCATGAAACCCTTTCTGTTCTTTTCCATTTTATCGGCTTTTGGATGCTTTTGGTGTTCTTCCTTGCTCAGCAAGACTATCATGAACATCTCCCCTCCAAGCCCTTGGCGCACTCCATTCCCGTTTGACCTGAGCTTTCAAAGGCTTGGCAATGCGAACCGCATGAGGTCTGCACAAGACAAAACTCTCTGAATGAGGCAAAAGCCAAGGATTGAAAGCTTCAGAAGAACGATTCAGTGACCTCACGAATGATGAATTGTTTGGAATGATCGAATGATCTGTCTGCAAACATGGCTGGAGCATGCCAAGACCATGACAAATGAAAGGAATCTGTGCATTGCAGGGCCACATCGCGGAATGCTTCGCATGCTTGAGGATGCACCCTGCACAAGCGATTCCTTGGCGACTCTGTGAATGGTTCGGATTCTCAACATCGTTTCGTCTTTGGCACTGCAATGTATGCCCACAATCTTAGGACAAGACAAAACCTGCAGGGCATAGATCTGCAAAGAGTCCGCAGCCAAGAGCCGCATCGACACTGCTTGCCTCTCAGTACTTGATCAATAGGGACATGTCTCTGAAATGCAAAAGGACTAAGCAAGAAAACTGGAGGCCCAAACGCTTCCAGTTTTTTGATAGCTGTCCAACGCCGTCCGACCTTGCGAGGTGTGCGCTGTCTCTGACAATTTTGGCATTTCTAAGCAATATAGTCACATGGGCAGGTTCCGCGCATGCACACGCACATACTGAATTTTGTTTGTTTGCCTGCATTTTTGTCTTCATTTGGTTGCTCAACGTCAAATAGCGCACCCAAGTCAACGTCTATGGCAATCCAATGTGTGCTTGTTTTGTCTGCGCGTCTATATCTATATCTATATCTATATCTATATCTGTCTGTCTGTCTGTCTGTCTGTCTGTCTGTCTGTCTGTATGTATGTATGTATGTAGTGAAGGGATGTATGATGTATGTATGTATGTATGTATGTGTGTGCCGTTTTTGAAGATGTAAAGTTTCTACATTCTTGCAGGGGGCAGCGGAATCGCCAGTTGTGGCCTCTGCCAACGAAGTTCCACACTCGATGATCAAGTAAATTTGCTTTTTTTTGTGTATATCCGTCGACCCCGGCCATCGCCAAGGCAGGGGCGGCGCCTGGGACCACCGCAGGTGTGGAGCCTGTTTTTGTTGGCTTTGCCACTACCTTGCCTTCCGCCAGCTCCGACAAGGCACCAAGGGCACAGTCACAGCATGTCACAGCCACATTGCACGCGTCAAACGCTACAACGCTCGCCAGGCCTCAAACCCTTAAAATGCCTAAAACCCTCCGCGGCAGCTTGGACCAGGCACTCAGGCCACACAGCCCTCTGTTGTTAAGGGCGTTTCAGCCTGCCGTTTGTCAAAGCCTTAACATGCCTCAAACCCTCCGCGGCAGCTTCGACCAGACACTCAGGCCACAGCCCTCTGTTGTTAAAGGTGTTCAAGCGTGCCGTTTGCCAGGCCTCACACCTTCACATGCCGCAACCGCTCCGCGGCAGCTTCGACCAGGCACTCCGGCCACAGCCCTCTGTTGTTAAGGGCGTTCAAGCGTGCCGTTTGCCAGGCGTCAAACCCTTAAAATACCAAAAACCCTCCGCGGCAGCTTGGACCAGGCACTCAGGCCACAGCCCTCTGTTGTTAAGGGCGTTTCAGCCTGCCGTTTGTCAAAGCCTTAACATGCCTCCGCGGCAGCTTCGACCAGATACTCAGGCCACAGCCCTCTGTTGTTAAAGGTGTTCAAGCGTGCCGTTTGCCAGGCCTCACACCTTCACATGCCGCAACCGCTCCGCGGCAGCTTCGACCAGGCACTCCGGCCACAGCCCTCTGTTGTTAAGGGCGTTCAAGCATGCCGTTTGCCAGGCCTCAAATGCCTAAAACGCTCCGCGGCAGCTTCGACCAGGCACTCAGGCCACTGCCCTCTGTTGTTAAGGGCATTCAAGCCTGCCGTTTGCCAGGCCTCAAATGTTAAAACGCTGCGCGGCTTCGACCAGGCACTCAGGCCACTGCCCTCTGTTGTTCAGGGCGTTCAAGCCTGCCGTTTGCCAGGCCTCAAATGCCTAAAACGCTGTGCGGCAGCTTCGAGTAGGCACTCAGGCCACTGCCCTCTGTTGTTAAGGGCGTTCAAGCCTGCCGTTTGCCAGGCCTCAAATGCCTAAAACGCTGCGCGGCGTTGTTAAGGGCGTTCAAGCCTGCCGTTTGCCAGGCCTCAAATGCCTAAAACGCTCCGCGGCAGCTTCGAGCAGGCACTCAGGCCACTGCCCTCTGTTGTTAAGGGCGTTCAAGCCTGCCGTTTGCCAGGCCTCAAATGCCTAAAACGCTCCGCGGCAGCTTCGACCAGGCACTCAGGCCACTGCCCTCTGTTGTTAAGGGCATTCAAGCCTGCCGTTTGCCAGGCCTCAAATGTTAAAACGCTGCGCGGCTTCGACCAGATACTCAGGCCACAGCCCTCTGTTGTTAAAGGTGTTCAAGCGTGCCGTTTGCCAGGCCTCACACCTTCACATGCCGCAACCGCTCCGCGGCAGCTGCAACCAGGCACTCAAGCCACTGCCCTCTGTTGGTAAGGGCGTTCAAGCCTGCCGTTTGCCAGGCCTCAAATGCCTAAAACGCTGCGCGGCAGCTTTGTACTCAGGCCACTGCCCTCTGTTGTTAAGGGCGTTCAAGCCTGCCGTTTGCCAGGCCTCAAATGCCTAAAACGCTGCGCGGCAGCTTCGAGCAGGCACTCAGGCCACTGCCATCTGTTGTTAAGGGCGTTCAAGCCTGCCAGCTGCATTCAACCGTGCACTATACATACCCGAGACTTCTGGCTGAAGAGCATCAACCTGGAGCTGTGATGAATTGCCCCCGGAGTCATCACCCAATGATCTGCGATGGAAGCGGATGATCGGGCGGCTTCTGGAGGGCAAGCGGTGGCATTGGATTGGGGACCCTTCAGGTGCACGTAAGGCTGCAAGCTTCCTGGTTTTCCAAGCCATTCGACCTTCACACTGAACCTGGACAACTCCTCCAACAGCAACACCAACCACATGCCAAGTTCAGTGAAAAATGACCCTCATCTTGGATAAGTTGATCCACTCCGGCCCCAAAAACTTCAGCATCATTTTCCGACCCACAATGTCCAAAACGGCACCTAAGGATTCCAAAGGGTCTTTGCCGATCAGGCAACCCAGGCTACCACACGGCACCGAAGAAATCCAAACCAGGACCACGTGTCCCATCAAGCAAACCGGCAGCCGGACTCGAAGTTGGGATGTCAGGACACCGCCATTGCCGAACTTGAAGAAGTCGGTCGTAGGTTGCTCATCCACCAAGGCTTGGATGTAGTGTGGTGCCCTCTTCAAACAATCCCTCATCAGTCGGATCCACTGCTCTCCAGCGCAAGTCTTGTTGCACGCAGTGTCAACCGCCGCCACATACTCCTTGTCACCTTCCAGGATGCCAGGGCTCCGGGTGCTCGTCGACAAAGCTTCAGCCAATCCACCCACCACGAAGATCTCGGCAGGCTCCTGCCCGTAGGGCTCCTCAGTCACATTGATCTCATAGATCTCTGGATTCTCGCTGAACTCCACATTGAACGTAGTTGCAGATCCAACAGGCATCAGGTCAACCACGCTGGCTTCAGTCACATGTGCTT